AAGCTGATTCAAGTTAACATTCCCCTTCTGACAACTTTATTCTATTTTGTTTGACAATCCTAAATTCATATGCTTTAACTTTAAACGATACACTTCGCCCTTAATCTGTCCATTTTTCGGATTATTAATTTGGATATATGATTGTAGAACCTGAAGAGAATTTATCGAATAGAATACTCTTCATTCAAATATTAGTCTTTTAATATGATGAGGATCTTTAAATAAGTAATTAATATGTTTACACATGTCAGGAGTGAAATAGTTGTCACCTATAATATTAGATAATTACAGATTGAGCTAACTTGGAATTGGTTCATAAGAGTTGCTTTTATGGTTAGGGATTTAATTACGAGTGGGATAGTACGAGTGTAATATTGAAGGGTTTAATATTGGAACGAAACAACTATCTAATCACTTCATGGTTTTCAGTCGTATCCTAACTGAGATCAAGCTGTGATTAACACAATTAATGAAATACTTACAATATCTGTTATAGCAGTTGGGGCACTAATCATTAATAAAAAGTAAATTAAAGATATTGGTTTTACTTTCTGTACTACTAATCAGCAGGATTCTATTAAGTCGATAATTTATTTTTTTAGTTTTTATTATATTTAACTGACTAAAAATTTGTGTGATTATTTTTATTAGAAAAGGATTTAAACTGAAAATTAGTTTCTCATGAACTGATATCGACTGGAAAACTTAGGTTTCTGAATATATTAACCAGCTTTTTCATCCTCTTCACTGTCCATAATTACTATAGTTGTTTATTTGCTAATGATCAGTTTTGAAATCAGCTTATTACAACCACAGTGAAACATATGGTTTATAAGATCGATCAAATTATTGGGGAAACGTTAACTTGTCGATAACGCTGAATGTGTATTGTATGATATCAATAAGGTTTTAAAAAATGAGCTATTAGATTCCAGTTAATTGACTCATCGATACAATGACTACGGTAGAAATTAAAGTCTCTAAGTTTACTCATATGTGGGGTCGTGAGAACACAATGATGATAAACCTCATATTTGGATTAAACAGCTGTCCAGTTCTCTTTGATTTCCAGTGGTTTCCCGGTTTCCGTAATTTCATGATGGTATCTATGTATGGATAGTACAAAACCTTCACACAACTACGAAAGTAATTGTATATGTAAGTGCTGCTTATAGTAAGTCGTTCAATTTATATTTGAACTGATCAAAAAGTAATATTACTGTGAGGAATATGAAACAGCTTTTTTTTACAAACTGGTATCCAAATTACATCTTTTCCCAATATAAACGCTCGTTTTCCTGAAATAATGAAAATTCTTACTTGGATAAACAATACTCATAGTAAATTCCTGATATGTACCAACTTGTTTATTAAGTATTTTCATAGATTATACTTTTTAACACTATAATAAGAGAAGGTTGTTTTGAGGAAAATCTGATGTACATTTTGAGCAATCTGATCATATATTTATTAATCAAGAGAGTTTGAAAAAACTTTAGAAAACGTCTTCACGAAACCTCTGACACTAAATGTGGAGTAAGAATTTGTAGTTCAGGTTTCGTGAAAAAATAATTTGCTAAGGAGGTTTGAAGTTTCTTATGGTTATAGCTTTAATAAATCTATGAACACAAATCTGACAGTGAGCCTAAAATATCTTTCAATTTCTAAGAAGTGAATCTTAGGACCTTAGAAAATTATATGTTTAGCTTTGGAGAGGAATGTTCTTCAGTTCTTTGGGCTTGTTTTAGATTGCAATTTGAATTGGATCTGAAGTTACTTTTAACGCATGTTCTACTATTATCGACCGTATAGCTAGATTACTCCTCCGTTTATGTTTCCAGGTACACATCTAAACTGATAAACACTATGGGGATGTGAAAAAGTGTTTACTAAAGTTTATGTGGAATCGATATGGTTTTTTACCTCGACAACTATTTTCCAAATTGTGTTTCAAATTTGACTTCTCTTTGTACTTTAACATGATATAGACACTGCTTTATGACTGAGTAGATTGACGGTTCACATGCCAATTGAAACTTACGTAGGTTTCATTGAGTATCTGTTCAATATTTCATTCATCAGTTTAATAATATCATATTGGATCTGGATTGCAAAAACGATTAATTTAATGGAACAGATATATTACTAAACCAATTTTACGTTTTAGTGGGTCAACATTGTGAAAGCTCATATATTATCTTATCTAAGTAAGCTTCCAACACAGTGATCGTTTTGTCACCATTCTTCTTACTAAGAGCTATATTTACAGTGAGCACATGACTACCATTTCTTTATTTAGAGTTTCTTGACACCATAGTGTAGATTGAAGTTTATTTTAACGCTGAACCAAATCAAAATGCGTATCATATATTACTCATATGTCATCCATACATCTATTAAGAGGAATCTTACTGGTAAGTTGACTGGCTACATTTTCATTAATATGGCTTTTAAAAATTGAGTGACACCAGTTCTAAGAGATTATCTATAGAGACGCTATCAATTTGTCTAGATTATTCCCTTTTCAACGTAAAATGAACCTTGTGTGTAAAAATTACTATCATGAATGTTGAAAGCGTAAGGGAAAGATGAAAATTACGTTATAAATGATATTATGTGTCTATATTTACATAGGTTAAAAACATTTGCACTAGAGGACTCAATATCAACATCATCTACATAGCTAATAAGGGCATGTTTATTTGAATGAAAACTCAGGAAAGTTTTTTGGGACACAACCAAATTTATTTTTGAATAAATATCGTAGCAGAATAACATGAATTCATTTATTTCGTGGATTCTTCTCAGTTGTTTACAACCTAAAACCATAGTACTTATCATTAAAACGTCTACGACAAACTGAGTTAGAATATGTACGTTTCTTACATAAAGTATGTATAGTTATTTCGTTTTAATGATAAATAATAAGATTCTAGGTTGTAAGCAGTTAAGGAGAATACATCAATTCATATTATTTTCTATTCAAGATTACAAATAAATGTTGTAGAAATATGTTTTGCATACTTGTAAGTAGTATAAGTAGTATTAATTGATATTGTCAGCTACACTGGGTTCTTCGAATGGATGGGGTTTGGAAGGCTCTTCGTTGATGTTATTTTGCAGATTTCTCTGAGTTCTAAGTAGGGTTCACAACTTTATCGTGGCCCATTTATATGACTCTAATTCTATCGTATGATGATGTTAACAAAATATACGTCCTGCCTATCCTCGTATGTAATTGTTGACTTAATTCGAATGAGTGAATAACAGAATACGCCAAATACGAGAATGGATTTTAGATACATATATTCCATGGATCCAGGCATACAATAAGAAAAGCGAATGTAGGTAATCCAACTCATTTTGATAAAGCATGACTCAATATTTGTAGCCAGACAAGAACAAGCTAAAGACGTGATAAATAGGGTACGTGATAGACACACACGCCTACACAAAAAACGGTCAAGGTTAATAAGCGAACGATTGATAAGGTCAAAATGGGACTCAAGGTAAATAAACAAATTCGTCTGTCCGGAAGCTAGAACAACCCATGAGGGCTTGATATAGTACGAGACACTGCAGCCTGTAGACATCTTGTCTGCGTCTTAGCAAAACTGAATACATCTTATTTGTGAATTCCAGTTTTAATCTACCATTAAATAAAACAATGAATCTAGAAATATACATATGCAGATCTCGGTGCCTGGATCTTTACGTACGTGTGGAACCTTATGTCAGGAGTGAAATCACTTGACTTCCAACTATTGAAGGACAAGTTCAAATATTGCTCCGTTTGATTCAGTTTGGACAGTTGATTAGTGCATCTACTTTACATTATGGTCTTAGTTTAATACTGACCTCTGTTTGAATACTTAGTGAAATAATCATCACCCATTGAGCGAGTGTTGTAAAAGTGACGATGAAATAGTGATTAGAAATCCGTAAAACTAAATGAATATTTGAGATGTCGTTAAATGACAGTAAACTTCTTTTACTAACCTTGAAACACTACAAGGCTTAGTGATTACTATTAATGCTTTTTCCACTGAATTTTGTTGTGTTAATCGGCAGAAACTACCCACTTAAATAAAATCTTTCTCTTTGACTATGGTATGGCGGGAAGATGTACAAGTACATAGACATTTATGCGTCTAAAGGTACGTAGAGAAGCTCTAATATAACTTATCTAGGGTATAATATTATGCGACAGGTAAAATTATAAAATCGAAACTAACTGAAAACCTTCCTAGTTAAAGATAAACAACTGTTAAGCACCGTTGTAAGGAAAACTTATATAAACATATGCATCAGAATAAAAATTCAGATTCAGAGGGAATAATTGAAATATTTTATACACAGAATCCCTTACTTTGCCAAGCATACATTATTGAATAATGCAATTGTTAGTATCTAAAATGAGCTTATTAAATGTAGTTGAGATTCAAAATCTTGACCTGAAAAAGGTAAAGACATATTCCATGAATGTAAACTTCCACCAAAAGAAATAAAGTGTGCGATTCGAACAAACGCCAATTGATCTATTAAAACAAAACAAGCAAAAGACACTTACTTCTTTGCTTTACTATACTTTAGTTAGAAATATGCTTATCCTTAGAATAAAAATAGCATAAGCAGACAAGTGTTGACTACTAAGAGTATGGAAATGACAGTTATTGTTTCTAATGTTTGTTACGATGTCAGATAAGAGACACTGTAATCCAGTGAAGAGAATATAGTTTAAAGTAATATCGATAGTTATTATAGTTATTGGAATAAAAAAAGTATGTTGTAAAATGTTATAATTTACAAAGACAAAAGAAAAACAATCTGGAAAATATTTAGTTACATATATGTATGATGGATTTCTGAATCAATACAAAATATTCCGCATATTCTCCTCACGTTTTATACTAGAATTTTTATATGAAAGCTCAGGAGTGTAGATAAGACACGCTGAAATAGCATAGAATCGAAACGATGGTCACATCTCAGCAAATCCCTCACTTATCAATAATGATACGGTTTTGTTTAGATGATGAATTTTGATCAGTTAATGATGCTACCTCATCTGTTACTAACTTAAGAGCAGCAAGTTCAGCTTCTAAATCATCAAAGCTCGGTTGTGTTTTTCCCGGAGGTGATGGTTTCTTTGGTTCAACAAGGAAATTGTCAAGTTCTTGTTCCAAATCGCTCATATCTTCCAATCCAATAGAGGTACGTCCAAAACTGGAAACAACATCTGAGATCTGGAAGAAGTGAAACGTTTTAAAGAACACAATGATGTTTATCACAAGTTCGGAACTTTTCTGTTTAGGAGATAGTAAATAGAGGCTTAATGGTTCAAGTGTATTAACAGTTAGGATAACAGTTACACAGATAAAAAAATAAAACATACATACTTAATGGTTGGATATTCTTTAACTTTTAGGTACGTGGAAAGTAATACTATGTTAAAAGAGATATCCTCTATACAAATGAGTAATGCCTTTTATGACGTTCTTTTAACCGGTCTATTTATAGACTGTGCAAGATGAATAAAGGACGTAAAAATGTTCAAAGCGGGAGAACGGTTCGTAACTATAGGGTACAAGGACAGTATATTATTCTAGATAAGTTTTACACAGTTATTATTATTTTACGATTATACTATTGAGTAGTAATTATGCGTGAAGCCAATGTATGAACAGGATATATGAATTTAAAACAATTAGATTATTTAACTCATTAGATGACCTACATGAATGTTATTTTTACTAAACCCTTCAAAATAGTTATGTTTGTGTGTCAAAATTTTTCAACGACTACTTATACAACAAAAAATGACGATCTCAAAATTGATAAGGTCTGTTATCAGAGAATCTGTGACCAGTGAAGTTCAACTGTGTCGCATGATAGGCAGTTACCCACTGGAGATAATGGAATATGGTTGCATAATGTCGTGTACTGATTGAGGTTAGACACTAGCACCGTTGGATACCGACTCAGGGGTCTGAAGGTTAAGCATTTGCGCATGAAACGCAAGGTCCTGGGTCCGGGTCTAGTGTGAGGGATCGTGAATGCACACTGCTGAAGAGTCCCATACTAGGGCGAAACGCCTGTCCACTGCTTCCATGTTTCCGATTGTGGTCTAATATCGATCGGTTAATGATTTCAATCAAACTTAACAATCTTTACAGCCCCATAAGTTCTAATTTTTAACGGATATTTGATCAATATAATCAACCATATCAAATCAGCTCACGTAGATAATGAAACTCGAAGTCAAGAATGCAGTCTTGTACTGTGCAAAATGATTACATTTGTCACATAAAACAATCGTACTGAGTGTATGTGCTGAATTAAATAAGTCCTCATGTGGGAGACATGTTCCAATATTCAGGGAATCAAGGTACCATTTTATTTCTTTACGAGCGAGTTTTTAATTTTAGGCTACAATGAAGGGACCTGATACAACAACTGACATAAAGGTAACTTCTAAGGGATAACTCTGTAGAAAAATATCCGAATTTGAATTCCTAGATTGGAACTTTTTGGAATTCATGCAAGGACTTTACACTTGTAAATAGCATTATTACATTTTACAATGAATCAGTGGCTAAATCACTCAAACACCAGACATTGAATTGCACGTTTGAAACTGATTCTGACTATTATGCTTCGATCTTATGAGTGAATGTCACTAATTTCCATAGAAAAAGTGGCTTAAAGGCGACAATAACAAGTTTTTACTTAGTTACTGAGCTGCAAAATATTAAGTCGATAAATTTTTCAGGTGATTCAGTGTGAAACAAACAAAAATATAAGCATTGAAAACCACGACAGAATAATGAATAAACTTTCTTAATGCAAATAATTATTAACCGAAGATATTTACCTCTTGACTTTCTTGAATTCTATCCATTACGTCATTCATTACACCTTCTGCTTTACTCAAAGCATTAGATCCTCCTACAGCTTGTCTGAGAGCTTCATTAACGCTATTTAGAACATGTACAATATTCCTGTTTTCTGTTGCAGATTCTATATCAATCAACATTGTTTCCAGATTATTAAGTTGTAATTGCTTTTGTTCTAGAGATTTCTCTAACACCTTCGTACGACGTAATAGAGATTTTGCTTCTGAATTCCTGTTAACAAGAGATAGTGTAAGATTAAAAACATATTCGCAAATGCAAAGGACTAGTTAAACAGTTTAAAAAAAAGTTATTTAATAGCTATAATTTTAATAAACCAGCAATGAGTGTGTGGGTGACTAACAACATATAACCTGGTATGCATGTACATCGGTTTAAGTTGCCATAGCCCATTAGCACACCGAGATGAAATCGTCAGGTCAAATCCCAGAATAGTCGAGGTAGTAACAGAATGAGTGTTAATAAGATTAGGTATCGAAGGTACGGTTCGAGAGAATATAAATTAGTGAAATCAGAACCTATGAACATAGCTCAGTTCAACTGTCACTGACGTCATGGACTTCGCCGTCGCGTCTTAACTTGCTGATTCTAGTATTGCCACTTTCCAACAGACTTACCTGGCACGGTAGGACCTAAAGGCACACGTGCTCCAGTTAATACAGCTCGGTTGAGTCATCACGATAGGTAAGCCCGACCACCATGTCAAGGTAGCAGCTACGGTCAGGAATAAGTCAGTGTACACGTACTTACCTCTTATCTAGCAATAAGGACTTGATATGACTTCGACGTTGTTCTATAACAGTTTCCAATCTTTTCTCTTCATTTTCAAGTTGTTTAATTGTAGATTTGAGTTGAACAATCCCACTTAGTGCAGATGATTCTATTTTTGCAGCGTCTGGATTAGTTGGTTTGTTCGGTCGGCTATTAATATCTTCACCGACGCGAATAATCTATTAAAATAGAGATATTGCATTAGATAGTCAAATGTAAAAAAAGCTTGATTTTTATTTTATCATGTAGCATACTAAAACTACCGTACTATTAAAACATGAAACTGCTATCTACAAATGAGTTACAAATGCCACGCTAGAGGATCCCGTACAGCATATTATTTACCGACTCTGAGACAATGAAAAAAAGCGTGAATGGTCATGTTGTATAACGAAAAAAATCGTGTTGGTCTAGAATATAGTAGTCCATTAAAATACAATGGATGAGGTCGTAACAAACATAAAACTCAGTCACAACCCAGTCATAGTTATGTGCTACATTCTCCACAAAAGCTAGATACATCTTTTAACTGAGTGAAATATATCTTAGTTATTCTTCTAATTCTTTGATTGAAAAATATTCTACAGAACAAAGACATTTCAAGCCATTCAAGTACACTGGAATTATTTGTTACAAACAAATAAAATCTCATTAAAGGGATATATACTAACAATTTATGATGCCTACGACGATCAGTTGATATTTACTGTTCATTTCTTATTATGAAAACGTATGATAAAATATCTACATTACTGAATGATGAGACAAAAATATTGCTTAAGCCAGTTGAACAAACTATTAGGCCAAAACATATCCTTTAAACTGACGAAGTTTTGAGGATACGTTAGTAGAGAGTAGTAAAATGACAATCAGTCTCATGAGCTGTACAATAATATTCTATTATATGAAGTAATTCCTTAGTTTATGGAGAAGTGTATGCTTATATACCTATAGTGTTTGATTACCGTTCATATACCCATTTATAACTTTTGGACATAGCTTGTTTACTGGAACGCTTTGTATATGGGTATGCTAAAATTGCCTGATCATAATATAATATTCAAAACAGTTTAAGTTACTATATAAATTCGATAGTCAGTAATTTATCATTAAATGGGTGTTGAACATACCTGAATCGGTTGGGAATCTGAAGTAGACGTGGTTTCCACAGAAACGCAGTGTTTGATATTACTCAATAAATCAAATATGTATTCACGAGTGGCCACATGGGAATAAAAGTTTGACAAGGCTGAGTTAAAAAGCTCTAGGTCATACACAGCTGAATGTGGTAATAACCTCTGGTCGCGGTAATTGTCATGAAACCAAGACAAAAATTCCACAGCGGAATTTTCAGCGAACTGACTGAACACAAACTGCTGACCCGATGTATCAGTCTCTAATGGATTAGAGGATGGCTGACTGAAATATGAGAATATTCAAAAGATAAAACGACCATTTGAAGTTAGTCCAACGCTAGTGTAGTAGAAACATCAAACAATCATCTGAGTGGGCACTAGATATTTTATAACTAGCAATTAAGATAAAACCTTGAAAGCAACAGAACCATAAAACTTCTCAAATAGTACGAGTACGATTACCCCTCCTTACATCGAATACCAGTTATAATGACTTTATACTCAGTATCTACGATCTAAAGCTTAGGAGTATTTTTGACGCTAACTATAGTTGGTATGGATTAATATATTTGATTTACTTTTTGGTAACCCGACCGTTGTTGCTACCTTGACGTGGTGGTCGGGCTTGCCTATCGTGATGAAGCAACCGAGCTATACTGGCTGGAACAACCGTTCCTCAAGGTCCTACCATGTCAGACAGGTCGGTTGAAGAGCGGTAAGACTAAAAGCAACAAACCCAAGGTCCGAAGGCGAAGTCGTACTGCTGACTGTACAGAGGTGTGACAGCAGTAAGGTTTCCTTCAGACAACCAGCATGACAGCGATGCTGCCTTCCCAAAAGGAGGGGTGGGGTTAGAAAAGGTCGACCCTAAAAATGCACACCTCACCTTACCTCACGGATTTCCGTCTCCGGCGGTAAGGCCCTTTGAAGAACGGAGCTAACACGTCAAAAACTTCCCACGAAAAGGCCGTGCGCGACCGGCCTCAAGCAGTTGTCCCTTGGGCACTGCGGTCACGCTCTCAGGTCACTGAGACCACCTCTAATCCAATTTCATTTTCAGGTACCTCCAGAAGAACCCTTCCTCGGTGTGGGCAACCGGGAAGTGATAACCGCCCTCATACCTCTAACAGCACTCGAGACCACTGTATTCATAATCAACCTTCCTCTTCAATTCCTATTATTCCTCCTACATCGACTTTCCACTCTAAACTTCCTCTTTCAGCTTCCTCCTCAAATGTCACCATAGCCAACGATTCTAGTGCTCAAAACCCTGTCCCAGGTCTACTGAAACCTCGCTCCAAACTACACATTGGAGCCTTCAACGTACGCACCCTATGTCAAATCGGTCAGCAGGCTTCCTTGGCTAAAACCCTAGAGTCTCTTTCCATTGATGTATGCTGTGTCTCCGAAACACGCATACAGGATTCCAGTGTGGTCATTCATTTGACCTCACCTCGGCAAAACGTAGAGCCAACGAGATACACCCTTCGTGTATCTGGTGACCCGATGGCCAGTTCTCGTGGACTGGCAGGTGTAGGCATAGCACTAAGCATGAGGGCGGAACAAGCACTTCTAGAGTGGGTCCCCGTCAACAGTCGTCTATGTGCTGTTCGGTTAAACGGCTCCGTAAGAACTCGGAAGGATAGGGATACACGTCGTTGCCTTTTCGTCGTTTCTGCCTACGCTCCCACTGACTGCAGCTCAGATGATGTGAAAGATGAATTTTACAGAAAGCTTTCTGAACTTCTTCAGAAAGCTAAACGCTCAGACATAGTACTCATAGGGGGTGACTTTAATGCTCAGATAGGTAGCTTAAACCAAACAGAAAGGCATTTAGGTGGATATTTTAGCATTCCAGCACAGCGAACAGATAGTGGTGACCGTCTGCTGCAACTGTGCTCAGACAATCGCTTATTTTTAGCAAACACAAATTTTAAGCATAAGAAGAGACATCGTCTAACACGGCGACCCCCTACACCAAACCAACGATGGACTCAAATAGACCATATTGCCATCAGTCACCGTTTGAGAGGGTCGGTAGAAGATTGTCGCTCATTCTGGAGTACCTGCTTGGACTCCGACCATGCCCTAATACGGGCACGCATCTGCTTGCGCCTCACTGGACGCAAAAAAGCCACAGTAAAAAGACCCATTAGAACCGAACTGAGTAGCGAGGAAACCAAAAGTAGGTTCTAGGAACAACTGAGGTCACGATTAGGTAGATGTGAAAACGAGGTTGACCCAGTTGTTGCTTGAAAAGCCATACAAACAGCTGTGGAAACAGCAGTGACATCTATCAGTGATTTAAACCAAAGGGTTACAAAGAACCAATGGATTTCTTGAAAGTCTATCACACTGATGGATTCTCGCAAACTCGTCCCATCAGGTTCCGAACATGATGAAGAGCGACAACAAATCAGATCTAGGTTAAGAAAAGGTCTAAGAAACGACCGTGAGGAGTGGTGGGCAATGAAAGCAAAAGAGATGGAAAAGGCGGCGACTATAGGGAACACAAGACAGCTTTACAGACTACTAAAAGAAACTGGAATTAATAAGTCAAGTGTGAGATTATATCGGAAAAAGACGATACTCTCATCTGCTCCCAGTTCAGACGTTTAGAACGATGGGCGGAACATTTCAGAGAACAGTTCAACTGGCCTTCAGCTACTCTACAACTACCCTCCATTCCCAGACAGTCTGAATGGAACATTGAAGTAGGTCCCCCAACTCTTGCTGAAGTTCAAAAGGCTATAGTTAATCTGAAATGAGGAAAGGCAGCTGGTCCAGATGGATTGGCTCCAGAAGTCTTTAAGGATGGTGGTCCAATTTTAGCGACTAGGTTGACTAATATTTTAGCTAAGATCTGGGAGTCAGACGTTATCCCATCTGACTGGTCACAATCACTTATTGTCCCAATATATAAGAAAGGGTCAAAATCATCCTGTGACAACCATAGAGGGATTAGTTTAACAAATATAGTATCTAAAATACTAGCCTCGATAATTATCAGACGCCTAAATAAGACTCGTGAACTGCGAACACGGAAGAACCAAGCTGGCTTCAGACCTGGTCGTGGCTGCATCGACCACATATTAACCATTCGTCAGTTTCTAGAACATAGGCATACTTATCGGCGTCCGACAATGGTGGTCTTTCTTGACTTGAAAGCAGCATTTGACTAGGTAGACCGCGAGATTCTGTGGCAGTGTCTGTCATTGAAAGACGTACCACAGAAGTACATAAACCTTGTGAAGGCTCTTGACTCGAACACTACTAGTCGAGTCAGAGCTTATGGCGAACTGTCATCTACTTTTGCAACCTCAAGTGGTGTCCGTCAAGGCTGTCCACTTTCCCCATTTTTGTTTAACTTCATCATAGATCTGCTGATGGAAATAACTTTCTCGTCGACTGAGTTCTCGGGTATTGATCTCCATCCAGGAGATCCACTTATCGATTTAGAATACGCAGATGACATAGTCCTGTTTGGTGAAGAGGCTGACAAAATGCAGAGTCTTCTGGTAGCACTAAGCAACAATGCCAGAATGTTTGGAATGCGCTTATCTCCCTCGAAATGCAAGTTGTTGCTTCAGGACTGGTCTGCGTCAACACCCGAACTAAGGATAGGGAGTGAAGTAGTCGAACGCGTCGACAACTTCACTTATCTTGGAAGTCTGATCAGCCCTAATGGGTTGGTGTCTGACGGAATTTCTGCACGAATTCGAAAAGCTTGTTTGACTTTCGTCAACTCACGTCACCTATGGCGAAGACGAGATATCTGTCTATCAATAAAAGGACGAGTATACTGCGCGGCAGTTTGTTCTGTTCTACTTTACGGCTGCGAAACATGGCCATTAAGAGTAGAAGATACTCGTAAGCTACAAGTATCTGACCACAGATGCCTTATAAATATTCCTGGCGTCTGCTGGGATCACCGGGTAAGTAATAGTGAGGTTAGACGCAGGGTATTAGGGAATGATGGTAAATCAATTGATGAGGTTGTGAATCTTCATCGACTGAGATGGTTGGGCCACGTGTTACGTATGCCCGAACACCGATTCCCACGAAGTGCTATGTTAACCGGTGTTGGGGATGGTTGAAAGAAATTTAGGGGCGGCCTAACCAAAACGTGGCATCAGTGCTTGAAGACACTAACCTCTAGTCTGAGCCATGTTAGTAGATGCAGACTACTTGGTTGGGGTCCGCGTGACTTTCGTAACCAATGGTTGGAGACTCTTGGTGACATGGCTCAGAATCGATCACAATGGCGTCGGTGTATACACTCCCTGTCTTCCCTTAAACTAAGAGATTAAAATCATTTCATATCTTTCCTTCTACGAACCAATTCTTTCTTCTTGTACTATATCTCTATATGCAATCTTTCTCTTATATATTACCACCTTTGATCTAACCACTGCTGTGAATCCGGTGTTCATCTTGTTGTGCTGATGCGGTATGGCAACCTGGACCGATGCACATATGTGCCTGGTCCTAAGTTGTAGCTGACTGACTTCGTGGTATTTAAAAGATAAAAAATCTTTGGGGTAATGAATTCGTACAAGTTGGGAATTATTTATATGCCTTAGATTTTAGTTTGCAAACAAATCACATTGAATATCTCAATTTATTGATACCTTAAAACCTGTTTGTACTGAAATCTCAAATATATTAAGCAAATTAATTAAGCTTACGACTTAAGTATAACTAATGGACCAAATAATCCCCTCTGCTGCTACAGAACTCGAAAAGATAAGGACACACGCTATTAACTTTTCGTTGCCTCCGCCTACACTCCTACTGATTGCAGCTCGGACGAAGTTAAAGATGGATTTTTCAGGAAGCTACTCTCTGATGTAGTGGTGGTGGCGGATTATTTTAATACTCAAGTAGGTAAACTAAACCAAACCGAAAGGCGATCGGGCAGATCTTAAAGTGTTTCGGCTAAACGAACAGATAATGGTGACTGTTTGTTGCGATTTTGCTCAGATAACCGTCTATTTCCGATGAATACAAACTTTAGACATAAAGAGAAACATCATCTGACGTGGCGACCCATCGATGGACTCAAATAGATCACGTTGCCTTTAGCCATCGTTGGAATAGCTCGGTAGAAGGCTGTCATTCATCCTTGAGCACACGTTTAGACTCGGATCATGCTCTAGTTTGAGCACATATTTGTCAGTATATTACTGGACGTAAAAAAAACTACAGCAAGAAAACCCCTTAGAGTTTAACTTAATGATGAAAAAGTTAAGAATATATTTCAGGAACAACTAGAGGAGTTAGTCAACCGTAAAAGTGATGTCCACTCAGATGTAGCTTGGTATGATATCCAAAAACCTGTGGAGACAGTGATGATATCGAATAGTAATTTAAACTAGACGGTTAGAAAAAACCAGTGGGTTTCGGCGGTGTCTACAGTACTGATAAGTGCTCAGGAACTCATCCTTTCTGGCTCAGAACACGATGAGGAGCGTGGGTAGCTTAAAAGTAGGCTGACAAAAAGCCTATGTAATCGTCGTGGGTAGTGGTGGTTAAGGGTAGCAGGAGAGATGAAAAATGCAGAAGCGATGGGTAACAGTAGACAACAGTCCAAACGTACCAAAAAATCTGGTATTAAAAACCCATCTGTTAGTGAAAATGACGAGTTGTTATTCACTCTCAATCCAGTAGATTGGACCGATGAACAGAACATTTTAGGGGAAAGTTGAACTTGCCTTCAGCCACAGTTCAGTTGCCCACTATCTCCAAGTAACCTAAGTGGGAAATCGATTTACGTCCTCCAACTATTAGGGACGTTGAGAAGGCTAAAGGTAATCTAAAGAGAGGGAGAAAAGCAGGGCCTGATGGACTAGTCCCTGAAAATTTTAAGGGTGGTGGTCCAGTTTTAGCGGTTAGATCGACTGAAATCTTGAATAAAATCTGGGAAGTGGACGTAATCCCATTTGACTGATCTCGATATCTGGTCTTACGTTGTAGCTAGCTGATTGATAAGAAAAGACAAAAATCATTTTGTGATAATCACAGAGGAATCAGTCTAACTGATATAGTATAAAAAATATTAACCTCACTAATACTTTGACGGCTAACTAAAGCTCATGAAGAGCGAACCTGAGAAAACCAGACTGGTTTCAGGCCTATAAGTGGATGTACAGACCAAATATTCATCATTCAGCAGATTCTGGTATATAGACATACTTTTCGACGTCTTACTATAATTGAAGTCCTTGACTTTAAAGTGGCGTTCGACTCCGATGTCCGTGAGGTTCTATGGTAGTATCTATCATTGAAAGGTGTATCAAAGTAGTACATTAACCTTCCACATGTTCTTTACTCAAACACTACTGGTCGAATCAGAGCTTATGGAGAACGGTCATCGGAATGCGTTATTTCAAGTGGTATACGTCAGGGTTTCCCGTTTCCTTTATTTTCATTTAACTTTTTCCATAGATATGCTTTTAGGTGCAACACTTCCATCGTCTGATTGATCTTTTACCAGGAGATTCACTCGTTGACTTAGAATACGTAGATAATATGGTTGTTTGATGAAGACGCTGAAAAAATCCAGTCTTCTGACCACCACCTTTAGCAATAGTACAAACATGTTTGGGATGCAGTTCTCTCCCTTGTAAAACGTCATTTCAGCATTGGCTTGCGTCATCGACTGAATTAGTGATAGGGAGTGAACTAGTTGAACGAATTGACCGCTCCGCTTATCTTGGGAGTCTCATCAGTACTGATGGTCTGGTGTCTGAAATCTCGGCACGGATTCAGAAGGGTCGATTGGCTTTTGTCAAATTGCGTCAAATGTGATGCACGCGAGGTATCCTTCTACTAACCAAAGGGCGAGTTTACTGAGCAGCAGTTTTCTCCGTTTGAGGTGTGAAACATAGCTAAGAAGAAAAGAGGATATTCGTCGGTTACTGGTATTCGATCATAGGTGTCTACGAAGCATCGCAGAGTAAGGAATAGAGTACTAGGTTGAGATAGGAAACCTAATGACGAGGTAGTAAATTTTCATCAACTGAAGTGTTTAGGATATATGTTACGTATGTCCAACCACCGCCTACCTTGACGGACGATACCTTCTGGTGCAGGAGTAGGCTGGAAACTGGGGGCAGTCAAGCCAAAGCACGGCGTCAATTGACGAATTCACTGAAAATTGGACTGAACCATGTTTATGGGTGTAGACTGCGTAGTTGAGATCCGAGTGATTATCGTAACCAGTGATTAGAAACTGTGAGTGATATGGATGGAACTCGTTTGCAATGGCGCACATGTATCCGTTCCTTATCTTTCTCCAAATCCTGAGGCTCTAAATTCCTCATACCCTTGCTTTGTTCTTATTTCACTAATTTATATTTTCTCGAATCGTATCTTCAATGCCTAATCTTTATTGCCACTCACACTGTTACTACCCCTACTAATCTGGGATTTCGCCTGACGATTTCATCTCGGTGTGCTAACAGGCTATGGCCTGGAAGATTTAGTCATAAGTATACTACTGTTAAAAACAAAATGGATTTAGGTCTTCTGGCAATGGTATATTACATGGATAATGTAGTGTTAACACGACAGAACACTAGAGAACAGATTTACATCTGAGGTCACTATGGTAGATAACTATTAAGTTTTTTTACTTACTAAGCACTTTAGCTGATATTATTTTTTTATCAGACTCTGCTGCGGCGTTTTCATGGAAAATATGACCGTTATATAACTTGGTTAGTGACGAAACGAACCACTAGGAACTTAAGCCGAACTGGAGACGGTGTCTTATTGCCTTACAAACTTTAGACTGAACATATAGACACGTTAGCACACCCCAAGAGTACTACAACGCCATCGAAAAAACGTTAACTGAGATACATACATCATATTTCTGAAAAACCATTGAAAGGCAAAGTTAAAAACAAACCAACCCAATTAAATAGTGATATGCCCATGATATTGGCCTGTGTACAACATAGGAGAAGGCCGTAAACATATTGCCTAAGATACTTCTGTTTGGAGTTACTGGTCCTAGTACACCTTCCGACACCAAATCAGAAATAACCTCTCCAAGTGATTGAGGGTATAAATCTATGCCTTCAACAGGGAAGTGTCGAGTAAACAGCTTTTGAAGTGACTGTTTACATATTACAAATGCCTTGTGATCTTTTGCATAGGATAGCAATATCCTTTTCCAAAATGTGATTTTAGCATTATAATTGACTGGATCAATAACTTTAGAGCGCCTTATAGGTTGCATAAGCGAATACATAGCATCATCGTCATCCCATATATCTGGCAACCGAAAACCAGCTGATTTGCTATCCATCATTATTGTTTGACTGACCTTGACAAGAACGGCCTTCAACCGAGACTCCAGTCCTCAGTAATAAGGGTAGGTGCGTTGACTTATATTAATCCTTGCAGTGTGTAACATTGTGCAGATCCAACCTCGGAAGGTGCTGATATTACTTGTTCCGGTAGAGAATTCCAGTAATTCACTACTCAGTGAGAGAAAGGAAACTCCAGACGTAAACGATTTGACCTCGGTTTTTGAACTTTCTTGGAATGTCACCTAAAATGATTAGTCCTAGACGGAAGGTAAATATGAGACATTAATACCGAGCTTATCTTCCAGTATACGATAAGGCAATATTAGATCACCTCGTATTCTGCGGTAAGATAACGGAAATAAGTTGAGATTTCTGAGTCTATCTCCATAAAATAGGCCAGGGAGACGTTTTACCATTTCGGTCCCTCATCGTTGGACTCCTTACAGCATATCCTCATCATACTTAAAGCAAGGACTCGTTGCTTGAATCCCATACTCCAATGCGGTCCCACGAAAGGCGGACATAATAATTTGAACATTTTTTCCTCCAAATACTGAAAACACATACTAATAGCCCATAGAATCCAATAGTCTTTTGCAGAAGCAACGGCAATAGCCTTACAGCTAGTCGTTTTGAGATCGCTGCTTATTATGACTCCTAAAATTTTACAGTCCATTACTTTGGGTAATACAAATCTACGTATTGTGTAGTTATTTAATAGCATCACCACACTCTTGTTAGAATCTGTAGTGGCATTGGACCATAACCACACAATCTTTAAAGCTGAGCACAAGACAACTCGGAAAACAGATATTGAATATTTAATACGGAGAAATACCTAACGATGGAAAAGGCGGGAACAGTTAATTGAATGACTTGGAGTTGATCGAATGGCATGGCTCGGCCATGCAGGCGTGGTCCCGGCTGAATACTACCTTATATCTCCTATTCATATCAAATATATTGTTCTTTCTCTAGCCTAACCTTGTTCCTCATCATGTATTGGTAATTGATACGATAAAGTGAGTTGTAGTCGATGGTTTGACTTCCACGTAAGATCTTATAGATTAAGCAGTTATATCATGACAAATCTACAATTTTAGGATTAGGTCTATTATTGGAGCAGTACTAATAACATAGTAGACCATAGTTCTACAAATCCACTTCTAGTGACCATCCATGCCACCAATGAACTGAAATTATTCTGTAATACAGTTCTATCTGTCATATTGTGTATGGGACTCCAAGTCTTTATGTCATCGGCGAAGGGTAGAGTGGATAACTTTGCTACAGTTGATAATTCATTTACATGAAATAAAAACAGAAGAGAACCGACTGTACTTTGGGGAACTCCGCTGTTTACAGGTTCCTACGCTGAGAGAGCCTCATTTACCCCTACCCTCTGTCTCCAGTCATGGAGAAAGTCACTTATCCAGTCTGTAACGTTTTAATGGATTCCAAAACTTTCTAGTTTTAATTTAAAACCCGAATGGGAGACTTTATCAAAGGCTTTACTTTGATGTATAAAATTACACCAAACAGTATGACTGTGATCAGGATTTCTTATCCCTAGAATGAATATTGTCAGGACCATTGGATTTAGCAGGCTTGAGATGCTGGAGTAGTCTTAAGACAGCACCTTTCTCAATAACCACAGGGTCCATCGACAGGCTGCCACAATCACAATCAATCGTTGGTCATTCTTCATTGCTGACAGAAAACACGTTACTGAAATATTCCGGTGAAACTTTAGTCTTTTCGATGTCATCGCTTGTCAGTATTGACGGATTTTCTTGTACCAAAAGTGGTAGAATTCCACCGCTTCTCTTAGCACGGTTTTTTATATACAAGAATAACAGTTTGTGACTATTTTTACAATCCGTAATCAGTTGTTTTTCATATGACTATCTATTCATACTTATCAACGTTTCACAAGCATCCCCAGTCTTACAATAACTGGATCTGAGCTGTTCTAAACCATTAGCTATGAACATATTCTAATGCTTTTACCTACGTAAGAAGTTTCTTGACCTGTTTAGTTATCGGTGCTGAACAGTTATTTTGTAGTACTAGGCACGGCATAAACGAGGAAGTAACTAAACTAAACTTGCCTTTAAATATAAACGCTGGTTCTTCAACTATTGAGCTAGTATCTACTAACCAATCTGTCTTAGAAGCGCACTCTTGAATGGCTGATATGTTGGCTCTCCACACATTTGGGTGAGGCTTAAACTGATCATATATCATGCCACTAGTTCTAAAGGTGAGTAAGGACAGGAGGTCAGTTGACCTGTATTGATCCTTGCGGTTAATATTACTGTAGAGATCCGACCTCACCCTGTATTTACCAGAGGAAGGTGTTGATATCACGTGTTCGGGTAGACGATTCCTGTAATTCATTACTCAAATAGTTTTTGGGGGGATAGAAAAAGCTTTTGCTTAACGGGCCTCCGTATCTAGTAGCAATGGACCCCCGATGCCTTCAGGTAAGAACCTAACTTATTTAACGAGAAAAGAGAAAAGAACAGTGAATTATATCGAGATACTGTCCCTAGTCCTTAAGAAAATGTCAAGTTTCCTTTTAAAAAACCCTCTGAGAAATCGATTAGACTAGCTCAGTCGACTGTGGATTTAAGCATTTAACTACTCGTAAGGAGTAGAAAGTGTGCATACAGTCCGTTCTACTGTGTTATGTCTTTAGCTCCTTGGTGTTGGGGCTAAGCTTAAGTAAATATTTAAGGAGATGCCCAGTAGTGTTTAGGATGCCGTAAGTTGTTTGGTCACATCTATGACACTTGTACTCTAGTGGGTAAAGGTTCATTGATTGGAGGTACTCTTCATAAGACTTGAATTCGAGTCCTTGAACTGACTGTATGGTTTGTCGTTGGATACGTTCCGACGTATCCTGATCCTTTCGGAGTGACATTGTGTTCCCATACTCTAAATAGGTAGCATAAAACTGTTAAAGATCATGTAGAAGGTTCTTCTGTTGAACTGGCCGAAAATGCGCTTCAACGTTACCAGTGAAAGGTTTGCTTGGAAAGCATTTCTGTTGAAGTTAGCGTATGACATCGGATCGTTAGATGTCAACACTCCTGGACCCTTTTTAACCTAGGTTGCCTCTAGAGAAGAGTTCACTAAGTTTTATTCATGGTCTGCAACATGTCTTAAATAGACTGTTTTAAACTTTGAAGTATTAAAAGCAAGTACTCTGTTGTCTGCCAAACATTCAAGTTGAGCCAGACCCTTTAAAAGTGCCAGTATATCATCTTGGTTGTAAACTTTTCTCCAGGGTTTCACACCGCCAGTGAAAAGTAATAAATCTGACAATGCCTGCTGCGGAGGGTCATTTATACAGATTAAGAAAAGAAGAGGTCCTAGTAATGAACCTTTAGGGGCCCCAATAGGAAGTATCATAGCCTCAGAAAAAGTGAAGTTAACACTGACCTTAAAAGTAGATTATTTAGATATGAAGTAAGTTAATCAATTATTGGTGATTTGATACCCAATCATCTGAACTTATTGTAAAGATAAATATGACTGATTCTATCAAAGAATTTCCAGAAGTCAAGGCATATAACGTCAACCTTCTCCTTTCAATCAAGGATGGTTGTCCATCTGTCCAACGTGGTCAGCAGGTTGGTTGTGTACTAGTGACATTTTCCGAAACGACGCTATTGAGGCGAAAAAAAGTGTGCGGATAGTAATTAGTCACACGGGTTGTCGCCTAAAAGGGACTTCATAATTTTTGAGGGTATCGAGAGAAGTGCTACCGGTCTGTGGCTTGAAGTTGTGCTCTGTCGACCTCCTTTGAAAATCGGCGTAGTGTGGGCCAGTTTCCAGTTTTCTGGTACCGTGCTTCGATTTAGTGGGTGTCAGAACACTACGTTAAGTGGTGTTCCTAATAGTGCCTTATGAGGCTTAGCAAACGAAGAGTGTGATTCTTGATGTATGTAGGTTGCTCATAGGTTTTGAAGGCCGTTTGCGGGGCAGACTGTCTTGTAGTACATAAGATCGTGAGCAGCAAGAAATCCAAATGAGCGTCCACGTCTCGTTGAGGTTGAGCTATCCAATCCACCAGTTGCAGATTGTCTTGTATAGCAGATACATGCAACCGTTTGAAATTCCAGAGCCTTTTGTTTGTAAGACGTATTAGTTTAGTTTCGCAGATAAGATTGAAAGCTGTGATGGCGTGACCCTTTTATTCCAGGGAAGACAAGACTGAGTTGTCAAGTAGGAATTATTTGTTTACAAATGTGCAGTTTAAGCGCAACGGAGTCTGACTATTTCTCCAACGAGTTTCTGAGTTGACGTTTTCGAACAATCCCAGATCTTCAGAAGTTAAAGAACCGAGCTTCAGTAGAGCTGTCACCTGTAATGTACGCATGTTCAGTGAAGTTGACTTTAGGGAGATTGCAGTTTCCCAGAACCAGAATGTGAGTGTATCTGGTACGAGTATGAGGAGATAACCCCCCAAGTATGCAATCTCCAAACATGGTGAAGACGCGAGAAACGGAGCTCCACACGTGAAAGATTAGATCTCGGTTTTTGAGCTTTCTTAGAATGTCATCTTAAATGATCAGTTCAAGATGAAAGCAAAAGATAAGACATATTAATAGCGAAATTACAGTCCAGTATACGGCAAGACAGTATTTCATCACCCTGTAACCTGTGGTAAGGTAACGTAAATAGGTTGAGGTTTCTCAGTGTGTCTTCATAAGATAGGTCAGAGAGAATTTTCAAAATTTTAGTCCCTTGTCGTTGAATTCGTTTTAGCATATCAGCCTTATGCTTGGAATAAGGAATCCCTTCTTGAAATACATAGTCCGAAAGCGACCTCGAAAAGTCGGGTATAATACCCTTAGAACTTTTTTATGCAAGTGTTCAAACGACTTATGAACAGCTCATAAGGTCTTGAATCCTTTGGCAATGGCAGCCATGGAGTTGCCCGTAGTAATAAGGTCGTTGCTTATTGTGACTCCTAGATCTTTATAGCCCACTACTCTAGGCAACACACATCCACATATTGTGTAGTCATATGAATCATCACAGTTATTTATTTAGATCACATTTTTGTTAGAGTTAACTTTCAGTGATCAACTCCCCATTCATTATACCAGTGAATTTAGGTCATTCCGTAATATTATTCAATGTGAAATGGTGTGTATGGGTCTATAACTCTTAGTTTCATTTGCGAAAATGGAACAGATGACTTTGCTACAATTGGTAAGTCACATACAGTTAAAAAGAGTACACCTTGACTAACTACACTTTTTAAAGATTCTCTCTTCGGCAGAAATGTACTTACTCGTACTCGTTTCCTAATGTTATTGGAAGAGTCACTTATGGAATTTGTGATTTCATAGTGGATCCCAAATTTCTCATATTGTTATTTCAGATCCAGATGAGAGATTTCGCTGAACTCTTTCCTTTCATCTAAGAAAATTACATTTACTGGAATATTTCTATGTTTATTCGCAACCCAGTCTTCTTTGTCAGTGACAAATTTGTCAAGTAGGATAAGCCTTTCCTCAGACCATGTTGTCCCCTGGATAAGGAACTGTTCCCTTCCGCAATGTTTGAAGCAGCTGTTCAAACAATCTTTTTTCATGCGTCACACCTAGGTGTACCCAGAATATTTTATCGTTGTTCCAACAGCTGGGCTTTTCTGATTTTCCATTTACGTAGTGTAGTTCGTTGTGGACTACAACCATTTGTGAATCTAAATGTCGTCTGTGTGTTTACTAAATCATTACTTTCCCTTGCATTGGTCCTCTTTCACGTAAATGTGGTAAGGTAATTAAGACAAACTCAGTACTCAAAAGGTAATCAAATGTATTACTCAGTTCATACTTGACGTTTTAGAATAACATATCTGTATCTAAAATCTGTCCCAGTCGCCGCGTTTCAGCTCTGGACTTGGAGAAGTCACTTTGAAGATTTTACTCATTACAGCGAAAAATCTTGTTTGAAGTTAGAACCCAACTAATACCTAGGGTCCACAAACAGTGCATTGCCCATGCGATGCGTGGAGAGTATGTAGTCAAATCATATCTCTTAATTAGTTTGAAATTAATGGACACAGTGAAAGCGCGCACAATGCTTCTAGGTTGATGGGATTTTGAAGTGTTATCAAAAATTATGTATATAATCAGTTATAGTAACTTGTTTATGTTGCGGAGAAAATTGATATTGATATTTGTGGCATCATTTTACTTATCATTTCGTCAAGTACTGAAGCTCATCAGCCCATTTAAAGGGAACTATGTTGTTTACCGGTTTATCCCGAGATAAAGGAGATTAAGTAATCACATACAAAGAGAGTGTTGATAATAGGTGGAAAGACTACTTCGATCGTCCATGTTGGTATTCAGAATTTTGCTAGAATAAGGTTACTGATACGAGACATCGTGCTGCACATCAGGTGATCAGTTAAGGGGGCGCAATTTTCGTGTTGATCCGAGGTGTTTATGAACATGACTGTGTAAATTTGGAAATTGAGGGTTAGATTTTATTCTTTTGTTATCTACGCAAGCAGCATCCTTTTTAGAAGACCAAATGCTCCCTTTTTAGACTTACTGTCTCGCTGCAGTTTTAATTTTCAACCGTTTTTGAAGATCAGTGAACCACGGTTTCCTGTGCTCTACCTCGGGTATCCAGACACCCAAGTTCGCGTTTGCTGCATCCTCATTCAGCTAATTTAAGGCTGGTAACCAGATCAATTAACTATGTAACTTACCATTAGAAAAAGAAATTTGCGACTGGATTTGGCGTTGTTTGTTCTTTGTATTTGTAGGTATAATATTTACTATTTCCCTATACTGTGTCATAGGATAGTGCGGTTTTATTTATGAACTCTCTCAACTGATCACCAAATAAAATTTCTAATAATTTGAAGGTTTTGGGTTCAAAGACACTGGTTTCCAGTCCGCAGTCCTTGAAGCTCCTACTTTGAAATGTAGAATAAGAATAACTTCCATTCACTCGGCAGTTGCTAAAATGTACAGCAGGCGGTAAAGCTGGTTGCATACGTATCTTGAGGCCTCAGGAACCATCAGATCATTGTGTACCTCGCATCGGGCTTCCTCAAAAACAAGAAATCAAGCACCAGAACAATCTTTGTAGAATGCACATCAAAAAGTGCTTCTATTTGTTCCTCAATATTCTGTGTGCGATAGTTATTTGACGTCCTGATACTAAAGATAATCCTTAACTCCAGTTCTCATTATTTGATCACTCATGCGTTTATTTTTCTCTTTTAGTCTCCAACATTTTAGACTTGAGAAGCCATTGTTACTGCATTTGTGACAGTATTTTCCACTATCAAAACCCTTTTTTATCTGGTATGTCTTCGAGATGGCTTTGTTAATAGTTTAATTCATGTGGAAGTGGTGTAGATTAGAAATGTTGTTTGGAAAACGGTTTTTTAGTTGTTTGGATACAACAGTTATCGACATTGAAGAAGCTGCAGACACGATAACCTATTCGACCTTGAACCAACACAGCTATTGCTTTCCGTGTTTTTTCGATTTCGTTGGCACGGTGATAATTACAAATCGTTTTTGAATTGAGAGATGCTTGACAAAGATCATAGTCATATGAAGGGCATTCTTGATCAATACGAAGTGATTATTATGTTTTTTCTAACTCACCATAGGTTGTTGAATGTTTGGGAAAAGGATGTCAAGGGACATCATATAAGTTGAGACGTCGAGATAATTCCGAATATTTTGTATTAAAGATGGTGAGAGAAAATTTCACATTCAGAATCCTGGAAAAAGATAGAGTGTAGAAGTCTAGACCATGGATATTTATTGTGTGAGGAGTTTTATCATATTCAGAAGTTCATACATCCATACTTACCAAGAATTTTAGAAATTCATATGTCAATGAACTCAGAAGTAAACTTCATTTTTCATATTACCTGTGTCAAGAACTCGGCAATTTATGTGTTTGTTATCCGTAACTATATCGATCTGCCAAGTTTAGACTCCATAATTAAAGACAACATAGAAAAATCTAGGTTGGAGTGGAATGTAAGAAATACAGTTTTAAATATCTACCTTAAGGAAAAATAGTTAATATACCGAATGTTTGGAAGCGTACTGACTGTCATAACTTCACTGAAAAAAGCGAATTGTGGCTCTATGTAACTTGTTCATAGGTTAACCCTGTTAAAGCTATTTTCATCCTGGTAATATTTTTCTCAGTGAGAAAGGATTTTTTATGACGGATATTTGGGGTCCGAATCTGATGAAGTATGCTCGTGGAGTAGATGTTTATGTGCAATGTATGTTAAAATTAAGCAACACCATAATATTTTTAATGACAATTTACTATTTTCTTTCTATTCACACATAGGACACCAGAATGATTCCTATTTTTAAATTTAACACATTTTGACCTGGGCATGTTTATCATAAATCTAAACACTTGATTATCTTCGCTCAAAGATGTTTTGTAAAATATAGGTACCAGTGTTTGAATCTTATTAGCAGATGGATTTCATGTTTATGAGTTTTAACGTAGTTAATGCTTTTCACATTTCTGCGAGACTTAAGATTCATTAAATAGTTTTCCCAGTAATAGCACGTTATTGTCTGAACGTGTGTCATTAGAATTCGTAATGATGACAGAATTTGATATACTAGTTAGGAATTTCTGAAATTTTCTAATCCATCTCCATCTCTCAATTTTGAGCAAATGTGGGGTTTTTGTGGTGTTTTTGTGTGAACTACTGATTCGTTTGTATTTGATGACTGCTTGATTTCAAAATCCAAATACAATACGTTTGTTCGTGCTCATATATTTTTTCTTGGTTAAGTTGCGTTATTTCCTAGTTTATACTGCAATTCAAATACTTCAAATAACAACAGTTTCCCTCAAAGTTTGGGGACATATTAGCGAAAATTCAAACGTTTCCAAACATTTATGGGAGTTTCCTCAAACCTGAGGAAATTTTGCTCTTTTCTTTTAAGTTTCTTGAAATTCTCTGTTGTGGCTTCCCCAAAAGTTTCACAAAACAGATAATATTTCCCCCAAAATAAAGAGATTAAAGTGCTCTGGTTGTTACAAATGGATCAGAACTGAAGTCAAAGAGGAGGCATACTTGAAAGTATTGTTATTTGAGTTCAACTTGGGCGCATAGTAATCTTTAAAGTAACCTTTGGTGGGACTTTTAATTTATGGACGATATTTGAGCAACGCTTTAATGACTTTGGAATGTTTACATATTTACTAGCAAATGAAGTCTTTGTTTTAGCGTAAGAAATAGGGATAATTGTTTATAGTTGAGCGTTAGGGTTAGAAGTTAGATTCAATGTTTTCATCCCGAAATGACATTAGCTATGATGTCAAAATGGTATTTAGCCAAATATGTGAATAAATTTTGAGCCAAAATAAAAGATCTGCTACCTTAAGTCTGATTGCTTCGTTCATAAACTATAGTCTCGCCCAACCGTTATACATACAAACATTGCAGCCATCCGTTTGTGAGCCATAGTGAGTCTATTATTCTTCTGGCTAACGGTCTTCAAATTGTTAAGTACAAATGTAATTGTAAAAGATAGATATTTTCATTTAACAACTTTTTAACTATGCTTGAAGTTTGCATAAGAAGAGCATAACTGATACGACGATCACAGTCTATCACCATTATCTTTAACTACACGTGTCAGCAAATACTGGGGAAATGTTTATTTTTGATAATTAGTGTTCAGTATTTATGTCTAATAACAGTTAAAGGAGGTATCTTAGATTTTGCTCAGTAAACTTAACGATTTTGATTCAAAGCATTATATTACTAAGTCAAGATTTTGGCTTACTTTCAGTAAAGAAACAAGTAAGTTAAATGCTATCCACTGAGTAGGGAGTTAGAATAGTAGGATGGTTAAAGTTAGAATGAAATATTCACGGTGACAAAGTTTGAGTTAGAAACCCTGAAAAATGTTTTAAAGTTTAGACATATTTAAGGAGACGTGAAAGAGGTTCTGATCGCACATCTCTGTACTAAATCAGAGTCTTATTATTTATTAAAAACTTAGTTACTGACCGTAAATCAGATTTAATAATAGGCAGATATCTTGTGTGACTTATTCTGTATGATCCGTTAACCCTTGATTTATTATTTACCTTTACAGCATTTGAATACATAATGAATCCTGATCTTTTAGGTGAATTCGCCATTGAATGTCCTCCTGATGAACTCCCACGAAGACGTTTACGTAAGTATAAAGTGTTCGTTCCATGGTTTACATTTACACCTATGAATTTAGTCAGCGATCGCTAATAAAATCAAAAAATAATCATGGTCTTCTGCAAACATAAATCGCGGTCCTGTCTGACTATAATTATAGAATATTTTTCCCATTAGTTTCTAGGAATTTCACTTTATTTTTTTATTTTATTATCTAGTCGTGTTGTTTTGACGTTGATTTGTGAAAATCTTTCTTTTTCGGGGCACAGTTAGCCAAATATGATTAGTTACATTAGATCACAATAATGCTTCTTTCAAAGAAATCCACTGTCACACATTAAATGAAGATGACATTTCGTCATGTAATAGGACAAAGAGTAACCTAGTGAAATACCAATTGACGAGGTTTTCTGCATAGATACATTGACAAAACTTTAGAGGTTTTACTTTCGTAACCACTCTTTCCATTACTTTAATATGGCATTTATTCGGGATTGTTTTAGAAAATGGATTGATTATTAAAGACAGGAGTTAGAGACTAATGTCTCCGTAGAAGGAAGACTGGGATGTTGTACTTATGAATGAATAACATAGAAAAGAGGGGCTTCATCCCCTTTAAAGCTCACTTATAATCGTCTAAGGCTAGGACGAAGAAGACGAAAACAAAGTTTACCGAATCACAAAAATGGATATTGTGATAGTATTTTCGTCATATTTGAGGTTGATTGTTTCGTTACATCCTCATATAAACTGATTTTGTTTAAGATCACTGACCTTTATACACCCACAAAATAATGAGGTAAAGTGTGCTCAATGACGTATGATGGAAGGAATTTATAATGTGAGTTCGTAAAAAGTGAAAACATTGCATATAATCGTGAAGATTAGTTTTATAATTACTCTCAGTAAAACTGTGCTCATACACTAAAACTTTCCATAATTTAACCCGAGGGTTGAGACATAATTGTTTTTAAGGGGGGTCAAAAGCGAGGGAATTATTGAAGCTAGAGTAAATATGACGTTTGCGAATTGGTTCCAAGGATAGATAGTATTAGAGTAGCTCAGACTTTATGAATTTCATAAGTAAGTAATCCTCGTAAAAAATGAATTTTAAGTGAAAAAAAATCACTTTTAATGTTGAGTTAGCAATGCCATAGCAAAGCGATTCAACACACTGGATGTAAGAACGATTTATTTAGTTTCTTGAACAAAAGAATTGTATTTCATTCAAACCACCTGTTCCATGAAGGATCAAGTCCTTGCTTAATGGTTATCAATTAGTAACATATGATACAACAACTACCAAGAATGTGAAATGTAAGGTACCGCAAAACAAACTCTGTTTTAAGTCTATCTCATATACAAATACTACGCAGAAAAAAGGTACAGTATTTCAGAGGTGGTAAAATTCATTAGCCATTATTATGGAGGTTGAGTGCTATAAATCCGTAAATTGGTCTAATACATCATGATTTAACTTGATGTGAATAAACTATAGTGATACCTGTAAGGAGATATGTTACACAACTGAACAATTAAGAAGAAATTTAGTATTCAATGAAATTTAAAAAAAGGTAGATTTTATGCGATAACTCGATAAAGCATATGAGAAAGTAACTACCATAAGAGGAAATAAAAATCACTGATTGTAAGTGTACAGTTAGTTATTTTTGACAAGTGATCAAAGTTTAAAATTATTTTTGTCCATAGAAAAAAGTAGGTATTCAAGAAAATGCCAAAATAGAAAGAAGCTTTAAAATTTAACTTCAAGAATGATATTTTCAGCTTCTATGATCCAGTAACATTAAGCAAATAAATTGAATTATTGTTCAGGCTCAATTAAGGTAAACCTTTATAAATTATCGTTTCTTCTTTTAATTGAGAACGTAGATACTCATTTCTACTGATCTTATTTCAAATTATTTAGATAAAAATAAATAGCACTTTATTTAAGTACGATATTCGTTGATTATATCGTTGGCAGATTAAATTATATATCTCTCGGATTGATACGATGTAATGTTTCTTAGTATTTGTTTAGGGAAGTTAGTTATGAAAACTTTACAAATTGACTTGGTTTTGATATATTTAACGATCTCTATATGTTTGTGCATAATTGTTTATTCATTAGTTTGAAATAAATCTTATCTGAATTGTAAAATTGACTTTGTAGATCGCCAACGTAGATGATCTGTGTCACAATGATTGGAGTTAGACATGAATGGTGTGATAAACTAGCTGACGTCGAAGTCACACCTCGTGTTCAGCACTTTACGTGGACTACCCCATTGATGTATCAAGGTACCATAGATGCTTTGAAGATTGTAAAACACGGAGGACGTTATTATAGAAATATATTAGTTAAAGTAGATACAAGCGAAAGTAAGACCACTGCCGCATGGGCCAGTCCATGGCATATGACCAACTTATGCGCGCTGGTTGTCTCTGACCTTGACAAGGATCAATGATTTGCTCGGTATTCAATGACTCAACTGCCGGATGATTTGGCTAGGGCTTAGTGACATTTCGCTGGCCCTACAACTTGATTATAATTTGTGTATCTAATCTTTAAGTAGATAAATCATAAATCACAATAATTATTTGTTATAACATGTACTTTTTTATAGCCAGATACATTGAATGGTGTGCTCCTGAAGCAAGTCAGTTTGAATTTACTGATAAATCTGATGTATGGACTTTGGGGTGTATAATCACCATTTTAATATATATTAAATATTTATTCAAAAATAAAGAGATTTTAGCAGTTGATCAACTCAAAGCAAAAGAAAATATATTTCACCATTTATCGTCTACAGAAGAATTAGTAAGTGTTTTCTAAATGAAAAAAAACAACTAATAAATATGTTTTGAAAACTTTATTTGTATGGGTATAAACTGTATACGAGTTTAAGATTAACGTCCATTAATTTTTATCATTCATATCAGAAACAAACTATAATCTCTCCTTTTTCTATCAAACAAAATGTATCGTTGTAATCATTTTGTTAAGTTATATCTAAAAAAAACCTTAAAAGAACTATTCATAGTGGGAATAAAATGCTATTGAATAGTGGTAGATGTTTTCAAAAAATGGATAGAGGAATTTCTGAAGAAATGTTGAATCCCACTTTATATAACTTCATTCTTATCTATTTGTTTCCAAGTATTATTTTTGGGGAAGATGATCATAGAATACATATTTCTCAGGACATATACCACGATAATTTGCAAAGATTTGTATCAAGGATTGAAAATAATCAGTTGTTTTTGGTATTCGTGCATCCTTAGAGGGTTGCTTCGACATTGACTCTAGGTCACATGCTTGTTTTAGTAATGTCGGGTACTGGCTATCAATGGAATTAAGGAAGTGTTTTTTATTCCGTTTGGGATCTTTCAATGAAAGATGCATTGATGTTTGGGGCAAAAAGGAGATGGGTTAGAGTTGTGGACACTGGGATGGAGATATATCCAGCTAACTAGCCTCGAATGAGATGAAACGTAGGTTCTGGTTTTCACTGTTAGCTACTATCCGACTTGACTAAGAAATATACTACAGTAAGTTCCTCAATATTCAAACTCTAGAAAGTACAAAAGACTAGTCAGCTAAAATGCATATTTAAAGATGTATACTCCATACACTCATCTCTTTATGCTTAAAATCCTTCATTTGGTGGATTTACAAGATTATTATAACATACAATGCTTATGAGTTTTGCTTTAAGATGAATAAAAAAATAGCTACAATTTAGTTGAAACAAAAATTTCCGTGTAATGGAATAATGACTAAGTATATAGAGGAGATTCGACTAATTGAGTGTTACAGAATGATTAAATGGGTCATTGAAAAGTGAATTTAAAATGGTTATTGATAATATACATGATGACGTAAGAAAGAGAAAATAAGTTTACAGAAATAAACAATCAGAGCAACCATTTATTTAGGTACATGGAATGCTCGTACAATGGGAGAGACCGGGAGAGTTCTAAATTGATGCAAATTACTGCAAATGAACAAATAAATAAGAACTGGAATTTTAATTAAATAATGTAATATTTTTGTTGGGGATATTAAATCCGAAAATACAGTATAGTAGGAGGAAATCAACTATACGATCACGTCCTGATTTAAAGTAATTTTTATTTCAGCTGACTCTCAATTAGTTTTCATATGCCTTAATTAAATCATCACGACCTTTTATTCATGTGAGATTTATTCTCTTTGGCAAACGTTTTAAATAATGATCGCTGAATATGATCAATTTATGGTGGAATGATTTTTTTTAACTATGAATTAATATTCTTTGGTCTCAATTAAATAAATCTTTCTTACAAAATTTGTCTTTTTGAGAGTCAGGCGCCATAGAAGAAAAAGCAAACTATGCTATCCCGGTATAAAGGTGTAGTTAAGAGATATTATCGGTAGCATAATGATGTTACTTTTACAGAAAATAATGATATAATTTTATGCATTGATTATGTTATTGTACATTTTTCCATATTAAGTCTATCATTTCATTTTCCCCATCAACACATAAATAAAAATAAGTTGGAAGTGATATAAATGTCATTTTTTTAAGATAAGCGATAGAATACAGTGTCCTTGTATTAATTTATTAATTATTAAACATTGAAAGGAAGTAATAGAAAATTGTACATCTAACCTGTTGTTCAATAACCATTATAATGAATATCATGAATTCAGTGAAGTTAACATTTATTGTAAACATGAATATAAGTAAACATAAATAAGTCATGGTGACGCTGTATGTGATAAGTAACCAAATAGAATATATAAAATCTCATTGATATTCTGTCATTTTGACTAATTACCTTCATTTTTGGGACTAATGAGTAATGCCGTTTATTTATTTTTCTACAAAAAAGTCAATTTCATAAAAATAAACGGTTTGTAATGACAATGAGTTTATGATTAATAACCAATTCAACTGGAATGTTTATTCATCATGATGCTGATGATGATGATGATAATGATAATGATAATATGTACGACGTCTATTTATTAAATATCCCTATTATTTTACAAAGTAATAATAATGATAATGATTTCCTGTTTATTGATTAGTTTATGGTTAAATAAACACACTAATTAAGTCAAGTGATATAAAGGGAATAATCTAAATGACTACTAATAGTTGAATGTGTATCCATACATTTTCATTTGTAGATAAAAGGATATGAATTGAGTTAAATGAAAGTGAACTATTACAAAATAATGATCAATTATCAGACATTATGTTGTTCTACTAATTTTATATTAACATTTACTGAATTATTATTATTATTATTGAAGTAAAGAAAAAGACAACCATTACCATAGATTACCCATTAACATGAATTAGTTAGACCAAATATCTTTTACAAAAAAAAAACATACAAATTATTTATAATGTAAAATGCAAACATCCTGTATTCTAATGAACAAAAACAATCATTTAACTATTTGGCATTTATAACAAGTTAATTTATATGAATAATAATTAATTCAATAAAGGTATAACAACACCAACAACAACTAATTCTAATAATCAAAGCAAACTATTTGTTTCTTCCTTAGCTATATTCGATATAGTATATAACTATTATTCTAGGATGAAGATTCTTTAACAGTATTCTTTTACGAGTAAATAAAACTAAGTTTATGTATTATCTAAGTATTTTTTCAGTGTATATTTTTTCTTAGTTATTCACATATTTTAATAATCATTTATATAACTATACCCTAAAATGTAATAATAAATTATGGTTGAATATAAAAGAATATAGTGATACCTGCATCGTAAGAATGAATGAGAAATCTTTTAAATTATTATAATGAGTTTTAAATGCATTGTTGTATTATCTAAATTTAATAGATTATGTCATAGCTCAGATGGTATAAGTGAATATATGAGATTTTATTTAACCATTTGTTTTGAGTGTATAATCGAATGAGAGTAAAAAACATTTGTTTCATTGAAATGGTATGATATTTAAAGACAAGGTTCAGTGGATAAAGCAGTAGACTTATAACTGTTTGGTAGTGTATTTAAGTTTTGTATTCTTGTTTAGGTAGGTAGTAGAATATTTTCATTAGTGTTCATATAAAATGTTCTAGTCTATCCTAAACAGATGAACATATTTCACAGGTTGAAATCATGAGTCAGTTGAAGCTAGACCACCATTGAAAACCTGGAAGCACTGGACGGCCGTTTCGTCCTAGTATGGGACTCCTCAGCAGTGCGCATCCACGATCCCGCACCACGCGGGGCTCGAACCCAGGACCTACTGGCTTCGCGCGCGAGCACGTAACTACTAGACCATTGAGCCGGCATCCAACGGTGTTAATGTCTAACTTCAACCAATCCACGAAGTTGCGCCACCATATACCATTGTCTTCTGTGAGTTGTTATTTCACAACAGACCGGTTCTGATAATAATCAACTGCTCACTAGTGACTGACTTCAGGAAAAACTCCTGGAGTTCTAGTGAGAAGCCGTAATCAGTGGAGTTCAACCAGGTCTGTTGTGAGATAACAACTCACGGAAGACAATGGTGTACGGTGGCGCAACTTCGTGGATTGGTTGAAGCTAGACATTAACACCGTTGGATGCCGGCTCAATGGTCTAGTAGTTAAGTGCTCGCGCGCGAAGCCAGTAGGTCCTGGGTTCGAGCCCCGCGTGGTGCGGGATCGTGGATGCGCACTGCTGAGGAGTCCCATACTAGAACGAAACGGCCGTCCAGTGCTTCCAGGTTTTCAATGGTGGTCTAGCTTCAACTGAGTCATGATTTCAACCTGTGAAATTTCCAAAACTCCACAAAACCCGTTCAGATGAACATGTACATAGTACTTAAATAAATATGATTTTATTTGTATACAAAACTTAGTTTTAGTAATATAATTTAATCGTTTTCACTTAAAAAGAGAAATCGACTTGTATTTATGATATAATTTTTCAGGTCTATTGTATTTGGAGTTTGAAACTGTTATCTACACTGACTTCAATCTGAATGTTAACTAAAATTCCAACCATTAATATATAACAAAACCATTATCTTCACGTTTGTTCTCATTTGCTTTTATCACTGTGTTACACATTTTAAAAATCAGTCAATCTTTCATTAGATACAATCCTTACGTAACATCTATGGGTTACTCTTTTCCTGTTAAAGATATTTAAGAGTTATCGATCTTAACAGTTATTCAACTGATGGCAGTCTAAACTTAGAACTTTTCTAAGCAGAAGTAGTGAACTATTTGTTCTTTTGGTATCTGTGTGAAAATTCCTTTAAAAGTATAAGAAATTTTCATATAACTACTTTTATAAATGCTTATAAACATTAATTAAAAGGAATTCATACCTGTTTGTTTATTCAACTAAAGGAAACACACAAAGAACTGTTTAAGTTACTTTCTCAAATGATGAAAAACAATCCATCTGAGCGTATAAGCTTAAAGTAAGTCATTCGTTTTTTCTTTCTGTATAGAAATAAAATGATATATCACTAGTTTTTCTAAAATTACATAATTATTAAAACTGATTATTGTTTTTATTTGTTTCAAATTGTTTCTTCTAGTTTATTAGTAAGTTGAAAATTGAACGGAATACAAAGAAAAAATTTTCATTTTATTTCTTGTTTTTACATTGAAGTATAAAAATTATTACAAGTTAAGTGTTTAAAAATTTTATTTGGCAAAAAATTAAAAGAAAGAAGCTCCCAAATGCCCTGGTACGGCAGAGAGTGGGGAGAGTTTGCTCTCCCTCTCCAAATGCTCTCAGACGTAAATATATCCTCTGCCAGGGATGTCCTACTCACTGCATTCTCGTGGTACGGGTGTTGCTTACGAAATTCAGAGGACAAAAAGCGAATGTCAGGCGCTTTAACCGGGTTGGTGGACATACAGAGTCCACCTAGGGGAGTTAGAAAACTCTGATTCCAAACCAACGGTGCACAAGGGCTCCAGTACCCCGAGGGAACAAATGGCTTATGAACCAATCGTTGGTCACCGGCTACCATGGGACTGCATCTCCCGACGATGCTCCACTGCCTTTTGGATCAGACCTTCAGGTCGAAGGCTCCGGGTGTGGCCCTCTGAGAAAACCACCTGCTTCGGTTTGGGCACCCGGGCAGTACCACATGCCCCACACAAATCATTCGATTTATGTGACGCATATGTATTTGGTGCCTCCTTGTACCAATATCTGTGTTAAAATAAATAATTAAATACAAGAAAGGACAAACGTGACAGAAAACAATCGAGTTTTAAAGAAACTTATCCAAGGGACTACAAATTATTTTAAGCAAAGATGGATGGTGGCTAGCAGTGAATTCTAGGACACGCGTTTCGTTTTATTTGGCACTCGTCAGCTAGATGTACCTGCATCTCAGAGTTGATGTTCACTCCGGGACTCGAACCCTAAATAACAATGAGAAGATACAAGTAAAACAACATCAAGTGAATGTTTACAAATTTTGTTTGAAATAATTAAGTTTACATAATTAAAAATATTTTTTCCATCATCATCATCAGCTGGATTATCATTTTAATTTTTTTAATTAATGAATTAAATAAAAGTTATTAAAATCATTTTATTGTGCTACTATTATTATTATTATTATTATTATCGATCAGAGCTGTAAATGATTGTAACTTTAAAGTAAAACACACAATTATAATGATCATTTTGTTTTATGAAAATTTTTAAGGCCATTCTCAATTACTGCAGTTTGTATTTTATACTGTTAGATTGATTGAATAAATATTGACGTAATGTAGAGAAGTATGAGAATACAATTTGAGCATTACATATATAATCTGAAGGATTTATGAAGATTAGTCTTAATTAAAATGACTCTTCTTTAAAGATTATAATCAATTGGGAAAATCATTGGATAATTAAGGAACATTAAATGGATATATTGAAACGTTGTTTGTAATTTCATGTACCTAAATTAATGGTTGCTATGGTTGTCAGAAGGGGCATCAGCCTCGTGACTTCCGAAGGAACTCGGCTTCCTTTGTGAGACGTCATAACTCTTCCAAATGAAGACCTTCTAACTCCCAGAGCAAATTTTAAATGGTTTGAATTATTTTTTCTGGTTAGCGCTTTTCTAGCGAGTTATTTTTTTACGAGATGGGGTCACTAACCCCATGCACAACTCTCCTCCTTTGTCCGGGCTTGAGACCGGAAGCAGCCCCGGGGGGGCTCCGGGCGGTCCATACGTCACTGAGAGTAACAGACGTAAGTAAGTAAGTAAGTAAGTTGGTTGTAACTTCTTAAGGCAGGCTGATACGAAAAGCTAATAGTTCTGTTTTTGATAATCAGATGATGAGTAATTCTACTTATACTGTAGGTAAAATGTTTATTATTTAATCTTATTGTGTCCAGATCTTGTATTTATATCGATGGATTTATTGAACAGGTTCTTTCGAAATGGGCTTAATTTACATACGTCTTTCGGTTGTTTGTAAAGTATTTAGCATATATATATAATATTTAGTGAATCTTTTTGATACACAAATATTTCATTGGTGGAAATGTTCAGCTAATTTTTTTTCCATCTTATAGTGACCTTTTAGACGATTTATATGTTCAAGTACTTTTGAAACATACAAATCCAGAATTTATTATGAGAGCTAAACGATGCATTGTAACAGTAGCTGACAGTAAGTTTAATAATCTCAATATTTATGTTGAGTTTCCTTTGATGTAATTACTTAATTTCAATTTTGCGAGAACCTTATGGAACTATCTTTGGCACTATAGTGTATTTTAAAAGATTGTCAACGTCATTCGAAATTCATACAACGGACTATACTGAAAAGTGGTGCATGAAGGACAGCTGACAGACGCCTAATTGAAAACCGGAGTCAGACAACGCTGCTTCATCTTCCAGTTTCTCTTTCTTCTGGTGGTTGACTGGACTATGAAAACCTCCAGATTTGACGAGGAGCACGGAATTAAATGAACATCTTGCACGCAACTAGAGGATTTGGACTTCGCAGGTGACCTGGCTCTTTTATTTTCTACACATCAACAAATGCAGATGAAAATATCCAGTGTAACAGGCGCCTCTGCTAATTATCACAAATATATTAGTTTTAGCAAGTATAGGGTAGTGGAAATAGTTGACTTTTATTGAAATCACGAAGCGATCTTATCTGTGGTTCTAGCGCGAAGCCGTGAATGACGTGAGGTAGGTACTAACTGGAGATAATGGAAGGGGGATTGCTCAATATCGTGGGATGACTGAAGTTAGACTAGTGCACTACTGGATAGCGTCTCAGTGGTGTTGTGGTTAAGCGTTAGTATGCGAGACTAGAGATCTTAGGTTTGGTTTTTGGATGTGCGGCAATGTATAGATACTGATGGGGAATCTCAAACTAGGTTGAGGTAAATTTCAAGTGCTTTCTGGTGGTTGTTTATCTTAAATTGGCCCGCGATCTCAGTGAAGTTAGTTTTTCCAGATATCTGAGCATTATAGGTAATCGCTTTAATGACTGAAGACTACATTCATATGTTTGTTAAGGGCAACTGACCAAAATGGGGAACGATGGTTTATTCAATAATTTGTTAAACACATAACAGTGATAACTAGAAAAAGCTACAACATAGTGATTTTTTAATTTTTAATGAAATAAATAGAGCTAAAAATTGATTACATAGGATAACGAAAGTTGTTTATTTTATGTGGTGTATAAATATTTACAAATGTTATCATCAGAATGGAGGGTCTCCATACTTGTGGGATGATAGTTTTAATTGTCACAATCAAATTATCCAGACTAGAAAACCTAATATTTACAGAAACGGAAATAGTCGTTTCTTGAATTCAATCTGAAGCAAAATAAATATATCAAGGTAGTTCACACTAGATGAACATTTACCAACGAAGATTGCTGAAACTTCGGTCCTGAAAATTAACGGAGGGAACATTCAAACCCTTACTAGTAATATTATAAATATCAAACATGTTTATGATGTATGCTACATAAGTCGACAGACATAAGTAGTATGGGATCATCTGAACCTAGTAACTCAGTGGGAGTGAGTCCCGATGTGAACACTAACATTAGGATGGAATCACGTTTAACTGACAAGTCCCGAATGAGATGAAATAATGGGTCCTGGGTCCCACTGTGGTGTGCGCTACTGATATACACATAAGTAGTATATAACGATAGTCAGGAATAGAATGCATTTCAGAAGAAGAAGAAGTCGAAGTACCAATTATTAATTAGTCAGTCATTTTTTTCTGAAAAGTATGAATGTAATAATTTTGGAAGGAAAATGTAAATGAATATATTACGATAGTCAGTTATTTATATTCCGTATATCGGAGAAAAATAGTATTATAATAAATGCCAATCACTCATAACCATTAGAAGTGTGAAATTTAATAGTTAAAATTGTATGATACAGTTGAAAAATCTCTCTATTACACATAATAAATAGTTTTTAGTGACGTATATGTCTGTATATCTTTGTGATCTATTTAATGAATTTTTACCTTATTTTACATACACTAAATAATACTGAATTGCTTGTTAGTGACTTGTTACTCTGGAAAATAGATGTGACACAGAAATAGTATGTTACTAACTTAAAGTTTCACAACAGGAAAGAATTTTAGTTAGGCAGTCATTAAAAGCCACGGAGCATCAGATGGCTGTTTTTTCTGTTATCTGGTCGATCAAGGGTGTGGATTCATGACATCTCCGGAGATGATGATCATTCGACCTTTGAACGACAGATTTGGGATCTAATAGTTTACATTTGTAATGCTAGTCAATTCACTGTATAACGTGATCGCCATTCATCGGCTTTGATAATACCTATTTTACGTCCTACAAGGTTAAATATCAATGGTCAGGACTTTTTCCTAAAACACCAGAGACGAAGTTAGTTACTAGTGAGTATATGACTACGACTAGTGTAGGATGTTTGTGGAGACAAAACGGTAACTATGATTTGAACTACTTATTTCCTGGCAAATAACTAACCTAGTTCGTGAATGATATCTATCCATAGATATACTTATCGATATTCGACAATAGTGATATTTCTTGACCCTATGGCAGCATTCGACTTCATTGATTGAGAGGTTTTATAACGAAAGAAGTATATGAACCTTGTGAAGGCTCTTCACTTAAATCACAAGTTATGGTGAAATGTCATCTGAACTGATAGCGTCAACTGATGTTCCTTAGGGTTATCCATTTACACTATTCTTATTTAACTTGGTAAGATATTTTCTATTACCAAAGTCACTTTAGCCCTCTAAATTTTCATAGATTAATGTTCTGCTGGGAGATCTCCTTGTTGAATTAGAGTAGGGGGACGATACAGTTCCTCTTAATCAAGACACTGGTAAAATCCAGTCTTCCAGTTGCCTTGAGGAACAATGCTAAGGTGTTTGAGATCTGTTTGCCTCCGTATAAGTGCTAAATGTTGCCTCAGAATCAGTTTGGAAGAAGTCAACACATCACGAAATACCCTAAAATTCCAAAAACAGGCTTCGAGCACTTGTCCTTCGAAATCTGGGGCCAAGCTACCAGGTCAACAAGATCATAACCAACACAGTTTCTTTCCCATGTAACTCAAGAAAAGTCCTTTTTTGCCATGTCAGGAAATAGGGAGTAACGGCCTCTCACGTACGTCTAACAGAACTTTAGGTTATCTTGTTCACGACAAAATCTCTTCAAGCTTTCTTAAGATCTTTTCGATCCCTACTATCGCCCCTGTTCCAATGGCCTCACATTTTTTCCGCGTGTCACCGATACTAAAGATTAGAGTTAAGGAAATGTTCTTTGTGATTTTTTGGCAACAGAGTTATGGATTTCATATTAAAGTTTTCAATGTTCGAACCCTAAGTAAAACCAAACAACAGGCTCCATTAACTAGGAATCTGGAGTCTCTTGCTGTCTTCTGATGTGCCTAAGTACAGTAGGAGTATATAATCGCTCTCGAACCATAGGTTTTAGTCTCATCGTTCTTCAAACGATCTGTTTGAAGCTAAAGGAACAAGTGTTCCAGCTAGGAAAAATGTTTATAATTGAGATCAGGAACCGACTGATGTCAGACCACCATTGAAAACCTGGAATCACTGGACGGCCGTTTCGTACTATTGTGGAACTTCTCAGCAGTTCGGACTCACAACCCCGCTCGCGGGATTCTAACCCAGGACCTTCAATCTCGCGCGCGAACGCCTAGCCTACTGGACCACTGGACCCCTATACTGATAAAAATGTTTATAACTGAAATTTTATATATTGCTGTCACTTTACGTATGATTGACAATTTTGTGCTTTTTAATTTTTTTAATAAATTTTACTGTAATCTCTGCTTGATATTTGTTAGTTTTTATTTCTTTCAAAAGAATCGGAAGAAAAATATATCCCAAGACTGAAGTTTATTAATAACTGTATATTAAAATAGATAGACTTAACATGATAGTATAACCTACTAGGTCTACCGATGAACAACTATTCTACTACAATAATTAATCAATCAACTTTTGTGGAAATTTGAGGTCAGATAAATCATTTAACTTACCTCTACATACACAGCAAGTGAACTGGAATATCGTATATATCACAAAACTTAAAAGATTTTTGTAGTCGTTTGATTCATTACGGAGATGGTGATCATCGTTAACAATGATGATTATTGTGTTGAATCGTAAGTTGTTTAAAGATGAAAGTATAGATTATTGAATTACAACTCAATAATAATGATGAGTTCGACCTTCTATGAATTTGCTGGAATGCACTGCTAGATTGACTCAATTTTCAATTCTGAACACTAAAAAGTCAAGAGGAAATTAGCAAAATCAACTTAATATTCATATAACTGATAATGAAAAGCTGAATATATGGTTTACAGTTCTAAATTCCGAATAAAATAAAAAAGTTAAACGTATGGAATAATACAGAAATTGTAGATTTAGAGAAAATCAAAGAATGAATTTATTTGCTCCACTGTGATGTATTATTCTGAACTAGGATATCTTTACTTCCTCAACACGATTTATTTCAATAGTTAGTGATTTTATGAACTGGTAGAAAATATTTTCCGATCACTCTTAGGTTTGTTTAAATCGTTTCCTACGGTAACTACTATTACACATGAAGTTATTAGTATTTGCCGAAAACTTTAATATATCTGTGTTTTTGTTAAACCTTAATGACGCATACTAATGGTAGATGAAATTGGTATTACATGTTGAGTTATGATCGAACTCACCTATCCTTGTAGTTATTATACTTATCTGAGAATTTTAAGCGCATATCACTTGCTTATGGTACTTTTCAATGCCATTGACTAACTTGAGAATACTGATTTTGAGGAAGACTTTTTTGAATTTAATGACAAATAGTATCACTATATAGAATAAATAAGTGAATGTTAATATGAGGTCAACATGTTTTTTTTTAAAAATTAAAATAATTACTAAAAAGATATGTGAGCTGTAGTATACTGTTTGTATGAGACACAACAGAAAATATGACTGACCCATTAGTTTAAAACTTAAATGAAAGTTCTTTTTATTGTTTCATATCACGACATGAAGTTACCTTATATCTTGAAGGTAATATTCATCGCACGATAACTTTAGTTAGAGAACCACTAAAAGTATAAAGTACTAGAATATTATTTTATCATAGTTTGTTTCTCTTCAGTAGTGCACTGAAAATCAACTTATTAGGTCTGTTGAGAATCTGTAGTGTATGGAATCAACCATCTTAAGAGCAAGAATTCGGTGGATCAAGTACATTGGTTTGGGAAATCCATATATCGTAAATTTATTGAAGTTAGAAATGTACATTATTGGACTCAGTAATCTGAATTTATCGTAATGGTAATGAGACTTAAACTCTCAGGTTTCAATACCATGCAAACGATGTGACTGTATGTCAGTGAATCCTTTTTATGAGTTTTATCAAGTCACAAAGTTTGGGTTGAGCCAAACGCATAGGTACAGACTATCTGATTGGTGCATGGGCGATGATAGAAACTAACAGTTGTGGACAATGAGTAACATACCTCAGAAGTGCTCACATTCATTCTTCTCGAATGATATCATCAGTTTATTATTAATATGACGTAAGTAGTAACGTATAACTTGAATGTTATGAAATTTTCATTTTCACCTTTATTAAAAAAAAATTTCTTTAATTTTAAAGAACCGTTCCCAGTGAATGATACTATGGAAGCAAAAATCAAATATCTTCATGTCAATTGGCAACATGAGAATTGTATTGAGAAAGCTGTTGTTTGGTTTGCAGAAAATATTCTAAACGATAATCATATTAACTTAACACATAGATTGTCATCTCATTTATTTCAGCTAATGTATTTACATCAAGCTAATTTGTCAATTATTACATCATCTTTAAAGATAATAATTCATTCAGTTGAAAATGAACAGTTACAATCTATGTTAACATGTTCAAGACATCCTTGTGAGGATGTTAGTAACCGATCTTTTTCTTCTTCTTCTTCTTCTTCTTCGTCTTCATCATCATCATCATCATCATCATCATCTTTACATAAACTATTAAAAGAAAGTAACCACTTTAAAAAGATTTGTAAAATAAACAATTTACATCTTGTATTAATCATAATGCAAAACTATTTACAACATGTCAATGTACAGAGATTAGGCTTAAAATTTTTCAATTCACTTATCCATAGAAATTATTCTACATTTATTAATTTAAATATAATAAATGATTATTTACAAATAAATAATAAAATATTTAAAAAGCTTCATACAATTAATTTATGTCATCATTTGATTGAATTATTGAATTATACAACTAATAAAGATATAATTAAAATAGGTATTAGTTATTTATGGAAATTTTGTATCTATGGTAAGTTAATTCTTTTTTCAAATATAAAAATTAATTATCAATTTAGGGGTTGTGGAGATTGTTAAGTTTTTGATTGAGATCATGAACCGATTGATATGAGACCACTATTGAAAACCTGGAAGCACTGGACGGCCGTTTTATCCTATAATTCGAACCAAGGGTCTTCAGTCTCGTGCGCGAACACTTAACCTACTGGACCACTGAGCCGGTATCCATTAGTGTTAATGTCAACGGCCGTCCAGCGCTTTCAGGTTTTCAGTGGTGGTCTAACATTAATCGGTTCATGATCTCAATCAAAAAATTTAACAATCTACACAACCCCTAAACTGATAATTACCATGTGCTCACTAGTAACTAGCTTCGTGAGAAAATTTTCGGAGTTCTGTTGAAATGCCATGACCGGTGGAGCTAAGCCATGTCGGGTAGATACAGGTATCTATCTCAGTACATTGGAAGATGGTCCCACAATTTCGTGGATTGGTTGAAGTTAGACATTAACACCATTGAATGCAGGATCAGTGTTCTAGAGGTTAAGTGTTCACATGTAAGATCGAAGGTCCTGGGTTCGAACTGTTTTGGAGCAGGATCGTGGATGAGTACTGCTAAGGAGCACTGTGATAGTCGAAACAGCCGTTTCATGCTTCCAGGTTTTCAACGGTGAACTAACATCAATCGGTTCATGATCTCAATAAAAAAACATATAAATTAATTGTTTGTTTTTAATAAGTTTTTTTAATGATTGAATTTATGAGTTAATTGAAACTAGATCACCATGGAAAACCTGGAATTACTGGACGGCTGTTTCATCCTAGTGTGGGACTCCTCAGCAGTGCGCATCCATGATCTTACCCTGCGAGATTTGAGCCTAAGACCTATCAGTCTAGCGCGCAGACGTTCAATCTTTTTTTTATTTGTATGCACAAAAAATACGTTATCAAGTAAAATATATTCAAGGATTATTTATTCTTCATAATGAAACAGTGACTGCGTGAATAAACAACTGACTGCGTCTTACATATTCAAATTTGAGCTGCTAAAAATTGTTAGTCTTCACTAAAAAACAAGTTTTATTTGAATACTGGATCCATGAGTTATGTTTCGCGACTGGATGATGATCTGACTGATTGAGGCTTTGGTTTTTCAAACATTCAAATATTTTGAAACATTTTGGTACTGAATTACTTCCTATCCAGCTTGTGTGAACAAACTATCGAGTAGTGTATACAAATTAATAATGTCATTCGACCTATATGCGTATGTCTTTTTTATGTGTATTCTTTAATGAATATATTCCCTTCCAAATATTATATTTAATGTGAGAAATGTTATTATCATGTGAGTTGGCTGGATTTATATGGGTTATTCAATTTAAAAATGGTTTCCATCACAGACAATTGAAAGATATTTAAATCTGAACTTATCTGTTTAACATAGGGAATCAATAACCTATGCTTTATCTAACATATCTATGGGATTCACAACATACTAAATAATGACACTTTTATAGTTTAATTCATGTATAAATAGTCAAAATATCCATTTACGAAAGAGTTCACAAGTATTATATAGGTTATTGAACAAGGTATTGAGTGAGATTACATATTCTCCACGTTTTACGTATACATAACATTTGATTATCCATTTGCACATTGCAGTTCGTTCTGAAATCCTAATGTCATTTCGTCTGATCATTAAGTGTTGTTCATATGTCGTGCTTTTGACATACTGAAACTCTTTTCTCCGTTTGATGACTGTTAAAGCTCCGAGGTCTGAAGGGCCATGGGGGGGGGTGGGGGGGGGGGGGGGGGTGTGGGGGGGGTGGGAGGGGAGGGGGGGTGGGTGGGTGGTGGGGGAGGGTGTGGGGGGGGGGGTTGGGGGTGGTGGGGGGGGGGGGGAGGGGAGGTGGGGGTTTGGTGGTGGGGGGTTGGTGGGTTGTTGGGGTGTGGTGGGGGGGGGGGGGGGGGGGGGGGGGGGGGGGTGGTGGTGGTGTGGGGTGGTGGGGGGGGGGGGGGGTGGGTGGGGGGTGGTGGGGGGTGGGGGGGTGGGTTTGGGGGGGGGGGGGGGGGGGGGGTGGTGGGGGTGGTGGGTTTTGTAGGAGGGTGGTGTAGGTGGTGTTTTGGGGTTGTTGTTGGGGGTTATGTGGGGTGGGTGGGGGGGGTTGGTTTGTGTTGTGTGGGGGGGGGGGGGGTGGGGGTGGTGGGTGGGGGGGGGTGGGGGGGGGGGTAGGGGTGGGAGGAGTGGATTTTAATGGAAGTATTATAAAAGTTTGAGAATGTGATTATAAGGATTAAGTTGGGTGGATTTGATGGTGGAAAGTGATAGTTTTTAAAATGTTACGATATTATTTTATCTTTATTACTTTTAATTTATATTTGCATTTATTAATGTCTTGAGTTGATGTTAAATTAGTATCATTTGTAGTTTCATTAAATGATCGACAACTATACATGAGAATATTGTTGTTACCACCGAAAGCTGATATTTGTCAAAAGAAACCATGATTCATATGACTCAGAGACAAATAAAGATACTTGGATGTTCAACAAAGTTTTAGTCTCTCGTTGAAATAGTTTTGTCTTTTGAACAAATAGAAATTTTCTGGATTTCAGTTCCACAATACTGAACTATAAAGATATGATTTGTTCAATTTACCAAGTTCTATCAGAGGTCAAATAACCACATATTGAATGAGTAGTTTGTACTATACCACTTCGTTACTCGTCGTTTCATATTTAAATGAAAGCATCATATCCTTTGTACTGTACAGGATATCAGATTTTGGGGTAAATAAAAAATTTCAGCTTTTTTTATCCAAGAAAAGCGAAACATCTTCATAGTTTGTCTGAAAATATTAAAAGTTTTAATTTTACATATGATTTCATCATGGAATAATGACATCTTGAAACAAGTCCTCGCTTAATAATATAGAAAGTTCCTGAATCGCACATAACTTTATAACTCTGCAAACTATTATGAAATATAACAATTGAGATAGATAAGTGTCATCACTATTAAATCTGAATCTGAAATGGAAATATAAATCTTTACATGTTGTTTACGTCTGGAATGAAAATGCCAAATACATACATAAATGATTGTTTTGATATAGAAATAGAATGAATATATTGATCGCATGAAGTGAAACGTCATCGATGTCAATAATTTTTGTTTTAATCGAACTCATTGATACGTTTAATTCTTATTCTAGTAGAAAACTATCAACGTTAAATAACATTATTTTGATAAAATCTGTCATTTTGGTAGTTTTAAAGTAATTTTCGTCATTAACTGACTTTAATTGGAGAACTTTGGAGAAAATCTAAATAGGAGTGAACATTTATTTTGTATCAGTTTCAGAATTCATAGCAGAACAATTCCTCAACTGCACATAAATTTGGACTCGGGATCTTCAAAGTCTCTCTCAGCAAATATATTATTGAACCAAGTCGTAAAAATTTATTGATCTGTATAGAATTATAGGTGAATGTGTTGAACCCCAAACTTATGTAATCTCACAAGTCATCCTCCTTCTATACTGAATAATTTTGTATGAAATAAGTAACTTGAAAGTCTTGCATTCATGTTTGGGATAGTACAATTCTCAGTGTTCATTTCTTAAAAAATTATCGTTGTCATAACATTTTCACTTCTAAAACATCAAACTCTAATGAAAGCCGATTAAATATAAATTCAAAAAAACAATCTGCATACAATGTTTGATACTTACTTACTTACGCCTGTTACTCCCAACGGAGCATAGGCCGACGACCAGCATTCTCCAACCCAATCTGTCCTGGGCCTTCTTTTCTAGTTCCATCCAATTCTTGTTCATTTTTCCCAAGTCTATCTCCATTTCCCGGAGTAATATTTTCTTTGGTCTTCCTCTTTTCCTTAGGCCTTGAGGATTCCATGTTAGGGCCTGTCTTGTGACGCAGTTGGGTGCTTTCCTCAATATGTGTCCTATCCACTTCCAGCGCTTCTTCCTCATTTCTTCCTCCGCTGAAATCTGGTTTGTTCTCTCCCACAGTACGTTGTTGCTAATAGTGGCGGCCAACGGATCCGAAGTATTTTGCGTAGACAACTGTTAATGAACACCTGTTTCTTCCGGATGATGGCTTTCGTAGTTCTCCACGTTTCCGCCTCATGCAGTAGAACTGTCTTGACATTTGTATTGAAAATTCTGACCTCGGTGTTGATTGACAGTTGCTTTGAGTTCCAAATGTTTCTAAGTTGTAAATATGCTGCTCTTGCTTTTCCGATCCGCGCCTTCACATCTGCATCAGATCCACCCCGTTCATCAATGATGCTGCCCAAATACGTAAAGGTTTTTAAGTCTTCCAAATCTTCTCCGTCAATTGTGATTGGATTGGTGCATTCTGTGTTGTATCGGAGAATCCTGCTTTTCCCTTTGTGTATGTTGAGACCTACTGCTGCTGAGGTTGCTGCTACACTGGTCGTCTTTTCCTGCATTTGTTGTTGCGTTTGAGATAGAATTGCCAGATCATCTGCGAAGTCTAGATCGTCCAGATGCATCCTAGATGTCCACTGTATCCCGTGTTGCCCTCCAGATGTTGATGTCTTCATGATCCAGTCGATCACCAGGAGAAAGGGAAAGGGTGAGAGTAAGCAACCTTGCCTGACACCGGTCTTTACTTCGAACGACTTTGTCGTTAAAACATTCTAACTCTTTAAAGTTAGACATTAACATCATTAGATGCTGGCTCAGTGGTCTAGAGGTTAAGCATTCTAATGCAAGACTGATAGGTCCTGGGTTCGATTCGCACGATGCGGGATAGTGGATGCGCACTGTTGAGAAGTCCCATACTAGGACAAAACGGTCGTCCAGTGCTCTCCGGTTTTTCATGGTGGTCTAGCTTTAACTGACTCATAATAAACAGTAATTCTTTTATTTGATACTTAAGTGAAAAAAAAGTGTTTAATGTTTCAATTGAAACTATATTTCTATCGTTTTAAAGTATGAATAATTATTTTCTTTATTACATATCAAGATAAAATTAAAAGGCAAATTACAGAATACAATAAGTTAATGTATATTCTACTGCATGGTTTAATTCAATTTAAAAATTTACCCATAACTATTTGGAATATATGTCTATGCTTACAAATTGTGATATCTTTGTCTGGTAAGTCTTTATCACGTCTTCTATATAGATATATGTTTGTGCGTGTTTCTTTGTATATGAAATTATTATTAATGGTTATAATTATGTGTTGTAAATAATTTCTCTTTACTTATATGAGATATCTCAAAATATGTGCGTTTAAATGAAGTGTTAAAGATGGGTTTAATCGAGAATTGTCTTTAGAAATATCATTGAAATCACAAATTGATCTAAGCTAGACAACATCGTCTAATGTTATACATATTTCGGCAAGAAATAGAAAAAAAAAATTAAACGATAAAAGAATCAATCATCATTGGTATTCATTTATTTATTTTTGTTTTTGTTTTAATGTTAATGATTATCTTATAGCTGATATGAATTATATTTTATTAAGTTGATGTGTATTTTCATTTGACAAACTTAAAAATCATCTATAATTTTACTTTTTCATTGAGTTGTCATTGTTAAGTAAACTCTGAGCCACTTATATTCATACTTCAATATTATACGAACTTGTAGGACAAAATTTACATTCTTGAGTTCATTTATAGTCAAAATCAGATAGTATTGATGTATTTGTTCAAACAGTTTACATGTCAACAAAATCTGGTCTATTTAGTTTTTGAATACATCAATTTTGAGATATAAATTTTTGAAATTAATAATACCTGGATCAGATTATTGTCCATTGTCCGTTCCTTATCTGAATGATTTATGATTTTTAAAATTATCACTTCGTAAAATATACTACTGACTTGAGCTGGAAAATGCACATTTCTAGTGTTTTCTGAAATAAGCGCATAGTGACAACAGAATGTGGTATCGTTAAGAAATATTGATTACTTTGCTAAGAATAGTCTACTCATTTCATCACATTAAGCATTCAAGGAAGTTTTCGCAACAATTTGAAAGATTCAAGAAGTCTGAACAACAGTTTATTCTGCGAATTAACCTATCTTTTTCTAAAATTTCGGCAGCTAATATAAAAACAATCTGAATGAACATATCTACCGTTGAATTAATTATATTCATCGTTGGTAGAAGATATGTTTTGGAATCTGAAAGTTTTTACGAGGAAATTATTTGCTTTTCCGCTTTAATTTATATTGGGAGAAAACAAGCATTTTAATGTATGGATTTCATTTACTAATATCCATAATCATTATTACACATTACGAAGAGAGATGGTTGATAATGGCACATTAGTGAATGACTTTCTACAACTACATTCATCACATTCATAAAGTGACTTTCTTAACTGAGGTGATTGCGTATGTTTTAATTTGAATAATATCAAGTACGTAACAATATATGAACTAAAAAGTTGTCAGGATGCTGTTTACACCGCTCACGTAACGGTTTCTCTTCATTAAAAATTAAACGTCGGATTACATTTTTACTACAATTTAATTAAGCTGCATATTGCATAATTTTAAAGAATAAGTGAAATTTCAGCCAGTTAGTCAACTGTTTCAAATTGAGTCAATTAAGCCTAAAGACACTTTAGTAACCCTTTCTTCTAATAAGCATTATTATGACTTATATATTAATTCTTTTTGCAATGTTTGTTTGGACCTTCTGATTGATGTTTAGGACTGAGATTGATCAGTCTCTTGTTGGCATATGTGCATCCTGTACGGGTTTCCTCAATATTGCCTTAAGTCACAAGCATTCTAAACAAAGATGGATGGTGGCTAGCAGTGGAACCGAGGACGCGCGTTTCGTCCTATCTGGGACTCGTCAGCTGGATGAACCTGTATTGCAGAGTTGATGTCCACTCCAGGACACGAATCTAGTATAGTTCTCTTCAAACGAACTCATTAGCTAAGTGGATAACGCGATGGCGTTTGAAGTAAGTAGCATTTGGCTTGAGTACCTGAGTGAACATAAACTTTGAAATGCAGGTATATCCAGCTGATCAGCCAAAATTCTACAAAACGTACATCTTGAATTCCACTGCTGGCCACTATCCGTTTTCGACTCACATATATTTTAAACATTTGGTGTGTTACTACATAGAAATAAAATTGTTACAAATATAATTTCAAACCAATGAAGTCAGTTCAAGTTTTATAAACAGTTGACCATTTTTAAACATCCATACCCTGTCACATGTCACTATGTGTGTTTGTGTTTATCTGTGTGTATATTGATTAGGCTAGTCAAATTTGTGTCTTTTTTTTTCAAATAATAAAAATATGCAAAAATTCATTTCAGTCATTGCCATTTTAAAGCAAAACTTTAAACTATATTTTCTCATTGAATGTAACACATGAAACAAGTTTTCTTTTCTTTATTTCATGAAATCAATCAATTTCCTGTTATTTTGATAAATTCAAAGTTTATTTTCAATATTCCTTGGTGTTGTTTTACTTAAATCTTCCCATTGAGGTTTCAGACTTCAATTGATCAGTCTGTTATTCGCATATGTGTATACTGTACGGGATTGTCATGATATTGCCTTAATTCAAAAGCTTTATAAGCAAAGATGAATAGTCCAAATAGGACGAAACGCGTGTTCCAGATTCTACTGGTAGCCACTATCCATCTTTGTTTACTTACAATAGTTTAATTCAGTTTTTACGATGAAAACAATGAAAATTGATTCGTTAATCTTTTTATTATTATTACTAAGGAAATTGATGAAAATATTTCTGATAACAATAAAAGGAAAGAATTCTTGTCAATTTTATGCTTAAGCAAAACATTGAGCAATAAAATAATTATAATAGTCTATGTCTCTATGATAGATCTTCTGACTGTTATGTAATTCGATTTATTTATTCACTATGTTGTTTGTTATCATTGTTATTTTTCTAATTTGTTTATCATTTTGAGATTGTTATGATCTTAGTGAAAATGTGAAAAATAAGCCAATGTTAAAATGATCATATTTAATCAAGTTATGTATGGATAAAAGAATCATTGTATTCTGAAAATAAACGGAGAACCTGTCGTTATCACGTATTCATTAAATAAATGGGTTTACTATTAATAGTCATGTGTTTATTGGTGACAAGCTTCAAGACGCAACTCCTGAAGTTTTAGTAGGAATCCGTGTCTAGCGGAGTACAATCATGACGAGTATGTGACAGCTATACACCATAGGGAATGGATAAGGGTTACGCAGTATCGTGAATCTATTAAAGTTGGACAATAATAACTTTTGATGCCCGCTCTGTGGTTTAAAGGTTAAGTATGGTAGCCCAAGATCAAATGTCCTGGGTTCAATTTTCGTATACACGGTGGAGGTTTTAAAATTTTGATTCTTGTATTAGAACGAAGTAGTTATTCGACGCTTCTTAGTATACAATTATTGTTTAACTAAAAGTGTTCAGTGATGTAAATCATCAAAATTCAACAATCTCCATAAAATCTGTATACTAACGAAATTTTCAGAGCTTAGTTGCAGTCATTATCACTGCTACTATACTATTTCGATTGCTTTGTCACTCATATATTTCATTTCACTTCGTTGCACCAATATGCTATAGAAATGTAGGTAGACGTACATTTATCCCAGGCTCTAAGGTGATCATGACTGACTGACTGAAACACTCACAAAATATATTTTAACAAAATACATTCACATCATTGATTAATGATTGCTTTTTTCAGACGCAAAGTTTTCACGTTAGTTCTATGTCGAATGGTATTTTTACAGCATAATTTGTATACCTCACACAGTACTGTAAAGTACTTTTATTCCACCAAGTGTGCACATCTAATTACACTTCGTTCTTCTGGAATTTAGACAGGAATAAAAATTCACTAATACTTGAGGAAGTTTTTCATGATGATAAGTTGTAAACTTTTTTTCTTTCTATCAAGGTAAATGTTTGTTTAGATTGTGTAATTGCAATAACTGATTAGTTAAATGTCAAACTGATATTTTGTTTTTCTTGGTTTTACTCATTAAATCAATCAATCATTAGCAGCAGGTTCCTTTGTTCATCAATACCGATTATGTTTTATGTACCATCAAAGAAAGTTGATCATTTTCAGTTAAAATTCAAACAAATATATCCGTAGATATTTTGAAGTTTCTTGTTATTGGTAAATTGATTTGCAAACTTAATAACAATATGCCTCTTGATCTTGAATTCTACCATTTTGTCATACATACGTTTCCATTCATTCATTTTAAACTATGATCTCAATATTCAGTTTTCCTTATTATTATTATTATTACTATTATTATTATTATTATTATTATTATTATTATTATTGTCACTACACTATTTTCGATCGGTTTTGTCACTCAACTTGTTATTTTAATCTCATGTTAACCATTGTTTGGTGTGAGAATTTGAGCTTATGTACATCTGTGCTAGGCTCCAGGTTGATGAAGGCTGACTGACTGATTTATTGTAAGAATGACTACTAAACAAACAAACAAAATGCACCCAGTCACCTGTTGTTATTTATTTAAAACTTACTTTCATATTATTTTATGGTGTTAACTGTTTTGTCAGTACGTGGCATGAGTTAGGTGTAATTTTTCAGGTTCTATTAGTTTTTATTTTATGTTATGAATTTTAGAATATTTTGCTTTACAATTTACTGATGAAATGGAAGAAGACGAATCAAAGAACGAGAAGAAAAATGGATTTGATATATTATATTTAATTTATAACATACATCCTGATAATACAACGATTACTGAAGCATTACTTAAACCAATCACATCACTAATGAAATATGGTAAGAATGGTTTTCAACTGATAGAGTTTCATTTAGCAAAAAGATTATCATTTTCAGTAGTTAGTAGAATGTCATTAAATTTTTGCTCTGTTATCTTATTTGTTGAGATATTTTACATTTAAAGACAGAATATAGGTCTTTGATTATAGTTTGTTTTTATTATGAACCATTGAAAACTATGGAATATGGAGTAGTGATCTCAAAGGCAATCTGTAATTCGTTTTGAAAGTGGAACGCTCCAAATATTCAACGTGCTTAAAACACTATATTTTCACCGGACAGAACTATTTCTTTCATGTGCTCCTTGTTGAAAATAGTCTTTAAGTAGGAGATCAATCTTTAACCGTTAGCTTGGATTATATCGGATGTTATAAACCTCTCTATTCAAACATTATTTAAAATGGCCTAAATTTGACATCAGTTCCAAAGATGATCTTTATGTGATTTATGTCTTGGAACATTTGATTTCTATTTTTCATCTTATCTACTTTGATGGTATACTATTTTTATTGAATTTCACTAAGCTATTGTAAAGTGTGATAAGTTTAACTGATTCAGTTTTGTGTTATACAATATGTTAATTTACCCAACTGATATATTACTAAATATACATTCATATAGAATATTTTGTAACTGAGACATAAAGTACAAATTATTACTATGAACTGTTAACATTTGTGCATCCTCGTAAACAATTTTGATTTTAATAAAACTTTATTCTGCACTCTGAATGGTACTGAGAAATATTACACCTTTTCTAATAAATATTATGAAACTATATACTGATTGAAGTGGCACACATTAACATGTGTATGCATATGGATACACACATAAATAAATTGGGGAATAAACAAACTATTTGTAATTTTAAAAGAAAGTTTGTTCTGAGTTTGAAAAGGAAAAAAGAAGAAAAATAAGAGACTTATCAATTCTAAGTTGATAATCTCAAGTTATTCTAGCCATGGTAATAATCACTATGAGGTCAATCACTTCTCTGTCTTAATCGGGTAGATCAGTAGACAAATCATTTTGAATTTTTAAAAAAATTAAGGTCGTGAAGTTTGGTGTACGAGAAAAAGAAAAGTTGATTATTAAATACGTTCTAATAGTAAATTTGCAATGATACATATGATTAGTTTATATAAACGTCTGTCAAAATTTGAACTAATAGTTTGACAGAAATTGGACTTCAAGTATATAAAAGACATTAGATGCTAAAATTATATTTGAAACAATCTCATAGATTAAGATCTAAACAATTCAAACATTTCATTTAGCAAACTGATAAGAGCTTCTTCAGTCAATTAATTAAAATCACAAATATATAACTGGTACTCATGACTGCAAAATTGTGCATGGAGGACAGGTCACAGACTCGTTCGAAGTAAAGACCGGTGTCAAACAAGAATGCTTACTCTCACACTCTTATCTTTCTCTTGGTGATCGAATCGATCATGAAGACGTCAACATCTGAAGGAAGCACGGGATACAGTGGACATCTAGGATGCATCTGGACGATCTAGACTTCGTAGATGATCTGGCCCCTGGCAACAACAAATGCAGGAGAAGATGATCAGTGTAGCAGCAGCCTAAGTAGCAGTAGGTCTCAATATACACAAACGGAAAAGCAAAATCCTCCGATACAACACAGAATGCACCAATGCAATCACAATTGACGGAGAAGATTTGGAAGACGTAAAAACCTTTACCTATTTGGGCAGCATCATTGATGAACGGGGTGGATCTGATGCAGATGTGAAGGCGTGGATCGGAAAAGCAAGAGCAGCATATTTACAACTGAAGAACATCTGGAATTAAAACAACTGTCAACCAACACCAAGGTAAGCATTTTCAATACAAATGTGGAAAGAGTTCTACTGTATGAAGCGGAAACCTGGAGAAATACGAAAGCCAGAATCCAGAAAATACATGTGTTTATTAATAGTTGTCTACGTAAAATATTTCGGATCCGTTGGCCGGACACTATTAGCAACAACCTACTGTGGGAAAGAACAAACCAGATCCCAGTGGAGGAAGAAATCAGGAAGAAGCGCTGGAAGTGGATAGGACACATATTGAGGAAAGCACCCAACTGTGTCACAAGGAATCCTGAAGGCCGAAGGAGGAGAGGAAAACCAAAGAATACATTACACCGAGAAATCGAGATAGACATGAGAAAAATGAACAAGAATTGAATGGAACTAGAAAAGAAGGCTCGGGACATAGTGGGTTGGAAAATGCTGGTCGGCGGCCTATGCTCCATTGGGAGTAACAGGCGTAAGTAAATAAGTAAGTAAGTACTCATGATATAGAAATTAATGAAGTTATTTGAAATAATAAAAGAATCTGGTTGTTTTTATATGGAAATAGTTAACGTTTGTGTAATTGCAAATGTGTGATTCAGTTTTATAAATTAATGTGTTTTGTAACCGAATGTTCTGAAATGAGAGACTTTTAGAAGACAGAACAACTGGGCAACAAAGAGTTACTTTTCTGTGAGTAAGTAATAAATATACACAAAGAAATATTTAACAAGATAATAAACATGATTAGATTTTGTCAAATATAAGCGATTATAAGATGACAGACTTGTAGAACACTGACCAGTTTATGAAATTAGGGATTAACTATTAAGGTTGATGCACTCCTCGTCATGTTTAAATTGTTGTGTGTAACTTAGACAAAAAAGATCTGAATTTTAACTACGAAAAAAACTTAAAGCATGCTTTATTACTGAAAGAGAGCGATTATCATACTAAATATTTAATTCAAATCACAAGTTGGGGAAAAATATATGTCCGCGATGATAAATCTTACAAAAGTAGTGAGATAATGGTGAAGATTTATATTTTAGGCGGATGCTTTTAGTGTTATTATGTTTCTCTGAGGTAAATGGTTTAATTTTAAATATTTTATCTTTATGGACAACGACATCAACGTTTACTTCATCATCATTTTCTTTAGTTTCTATTTACATACAGTGTCAGTTACGTTGGTGTTTTGATACTTGTAACCAATCAAATATAAATCAAATTAAGAAATAGAAATTCCAAACTTATTTCTATAGTGCATCTAATGTATGTATTGTGTTAGACTTTTATAGGTTACTTTTGATAAAAAGTAATTTTTTGGAGTATCAAGATTTTACATTGACGACTGACGAAGCGAAATTTTTTGTGCTTCAGATTTTGACTAAAATTGCCGAATAATCTGAACAATCCTATTAAACACTTAATTCTGTCACTGAACTGATCATTACAAAAAATAATTCTAACCACATTTCTTTGAAATATGAATCAATTTAGAAAAAAAATAAGAAGAATTGTAAACAGTTGATAAATTATGGCCAGTAGTAAAATTTAGGGCACGTGTTTCGTCTTACTCAAGACTTTTCAGCTGAATGTGTATATATCTAGATGTTGTCATTCATACTTGGACTCAAACCCAGTATCTTGCACACGTTACCTCGTTATTTACCAAGCCATCGAGATCGAAATAATCGCTAAGTTGTTTAATGGATGTTAGACAAGAATTTTTTTGTTATTAATATTCACAACTACATAACAACAGCACATATATCCTAAATAACTTATGATAAAATGGATGTATTGAGACAATCATCATATAATGAATATATTGCCAACAAAGATTGATAAATATTCAGTCAAGTGTATCAACAGTATAAGAACTCAAACCTTAACTAATAGGATATGAAGAGTTTTTGTTTCGTTAAATAACAAATTTTCAAAGTGACAAACTAGGTTTTATGTTATTAGTGTTTCTATGGTGTAAGACCTATATTACTGTGAGAATTAACATCGTTTGTGTTTATTTGCTACAACCTTTTCGTTACTTATCACATCAAGGATTTCATGTTGTCCATTAATTTTTTCTTAGTTTCTCGATGAAATGAAATCTGTACATGTTTAAAAGTTACATAACTGAGATGATGCTAAGCATATTTTTTCGTAAACAATCACATTATATGAAGTGATAAGGTCCAAAGTCATAAATTTAATGAAACATGTATTTCTCAGTGATTTATCTAAAAATAACTCAGGTAGACTTTCCGAATTAAAAACCCAGTTTTTACATGAATTATCTACAAGTCATATTGTTTAAGTAGTTGAACATAGTGTACTGCTACATATACATTATTGCCAAAAAAACTCGTTTAACAGATACATTATAAAGAAAAATGCGAAAGTCAATCATAATATGAAATTTAAGTTGTCTGCCCTTATCATTTTAATAGAATAACAAAAATAAGTAAATATTTCAATGTTTAAAGTAGGTCAAGTTTTGGAAAGGTAGGCATGAAATACTATGTAGTACACTGAAAACAAAAAGTTGTGTTACCAAGCCAATTTTAAATATGAAAATAATAAACAAAGGATATGTAGAAAAAAACTGAAGGGAATAACAGCGTTAAAATTCGGTAAAGTTGCATACTGATATTTTCTTGAGCATGAAAATGGAGAATATTTGTACATAATGTGTTCAAATACAACAATTATGGTTGTTCACTTGCATGTTTATAATTCCTGCTATATGCTGAAGTTAAGTTCACACTCGGTAAAAATTTAAGTTTGACCCACCATTTACACACTGTCAGTCAATCTAATCGAATAAAGTTATGCATCTTCTTTTACCAGTTATATAAGTTTCCACTAAATACACATGTGTCGTTGACAATGCGAATTAAACTATATTTTACTTTATCAACTACTATTAGCCTACTAGAAAACAAGAGAGATTAACTGAATCAAATGTCATGAGTAGCATACATATATATATATTTCTTGTTCTAAATTTTACAATGGAAACTGTTCTATAATCCACACTTTGAACATTTATTAACTATATCGATTCCGATTTCCCCAAAGTAAATATCTAAAATTTCAATATTTTGTTATATATTGTGCGAAGTTACAATGTATTTACATAATACATATACATAGCCTTTGAGTGTACACTCACATATTCCGGTGTGTTCTGCA